TGATATAATCCTCCACGAGGGGTAGCAAATGCTGTTTTCTCTTTATCACCCTTGTGCATGGGAATTTGGTGGTACGCCATGTTTAAGTCTAACGACGAAAACCACGCCGATCCTGCTAAGGAATAAAGATCATCTGCTACTCTGGGAATTGGATAAGCATCCTTGATGGTGTTTGCGTTCAGCTTTCAGCATAGTTTCCAGCTCTTATCTTTCTTCTGCACTAAGACAAGGGGAGACGACCAAGGACTATTAGACTTCTCAATTAGTCCTTGTTCTTCCAGTTTCTGTATCTCATTATCCATAACCTCACGTTTAAAGATTGGGACTCTTCTTACAACTTCTTTAAAAGGTATTTCTTCTTTCAGTTTTATAAAATGTTCTCCAACACGTGCCCTCTCAAGTGGTTTACTCGGGTCAGCAAAAACCTCTACACGACTCAGGAGAAAATCTTTGAATTTCTTTGTTTGCTCATCAGTCAAATGTTCACATCCCTCAGTGAACACCGGCTCAAGGAAATCTGGCAATTTCCTATTTGACGTCTAATCCACACAACAAACATTTGTAATTTTGACAGAAGATGAAACACACTCAACTGGTTCAACGAATGCTACGGCCATATTCTCTTTTACACGTACTTCCTGCTCAAATGGATTAAATACCCGTAAATAGATGCAACTCTGTTCAGCATCCAAACTCACAAGCACACGAGCAACCGCTAATCCATGGCTAAGTACAAAATTCTGCAAGGGCTCTAAAATTCCTATTCCTCCTCCTGGTCCTGAGTAAACTCTGGCTGTAGTAATTGCTTCATGATGTGGTAGAATTACACAAACCTCTATGGAAAACACATGAGATCCCTGTAAACTACTATCTGATACACATTTTAGAATACACAAATTACGATCAAAGTCCCACTGGCATTTAAATCTTGTAATGAAATCCAGTCCAAGTAAATTGTTTTAATACCTCCAACAAATACACGAAATATCACACTAAACCCAGCAAATGATATCAATATTTCAGCTGTTCCTATAATATGCAAGTTGTTTCCATCGGCAGCTTGAAATTTCTTCTTTGTGAACTCAAGTACTGGTCGTTGTTCTGGAAGGATGCTGTAATAGGCATCTTCTGTTATGAACGTATTTATGGCTCCTGTGTCTAATTTCCATTCTGATGGTGCTCCTTCTATAAACCCTTTTAACTTCATTCCAGATTCTCCAGGAATGTGTACAACGCGTTCACTCACATTAGAATGATAATCCAGGTCCTCTATAATATCTCGTCTGTGTTGCCATAGTTACTGACTGTGAAATGTCACCATCAATTTCCTTAACATCACGATATTGCAGGTTAACAGTACAAGGCCGCTTCCTTAACTTAGCCGACGCATGGCCTACTGCCTCGACTTGCATTTAAGGCTCCCTTGCTTCACGTTTATTTTGGTTAAGTGTCTTTTTCGGACAGTCCTTTAGTAAATGTCCTGTAGAATTGCATCTGTAGCATCGTTTCACTGATTTAAAACTACCTCGCTCTGTGTGATTATTCTTGTTGACATTTCTTGCATAAGAATTACGAATATCATAAACAGGTCTTTCTATTCTTCTTTCTTTCATCCTTACATTTTCCGTCATGCGTATACATTCCTCCTGCATAGCCGCGGTAACAGCATCATCCGCTGCCACCAGTTGTAGCGCAGTCCGAGCTGCGGGGGAGTCAGCTTAATTAAACTGCTGAGTTTAAAAACATTTACTGTCCGAGCGGTTTTTACTGAAATTCTCACCCCTCCTCAGAATAATGCTATGAAGTCCGCATAAAAGTTCACTAATTTATTTACATATCTATACACAATATTTACACATATATAGTCCACACTTCACATTAGAAATAATAGTAAAATAATCCAGATAAAATATATAAAATCCTAAACCCTGCTACTCTGTCTAAATCTATTCTGTCTGATATTTACAACAATTCACTACACAACTGCAACTACTTTAACTGTTTTAACTGTACAAATGATCAAATTCGCTTACTTATATACTCTACCGAGCCTCCACAATGTGGGGAGTGAAAACTCTACCTCCTCTAAGTGGGGAGGCAATACATAACATTAAACAATGACCACCTGTGATTAACTAATTATCACTATAATTAAAAAGCAATAAACTGCCCTAGCTTACAAATAGATAAGACTAAACAGCTAAATAGAAAATTAATAACAGGTAGCTATAACCATGATAACAATCCGGAATCTGACAATCAACTATTATAAATTTGCTACATAATTATAGAAAATACATATAAGTTTTAAGTTAAATGTAGGTTGTTTAATATTTTGATAATTTCAACTTCACTTCCTGTGATCACGTGATTTCATAGTTTATGATTTTGCACGAAATGTTTCGCGCTAGACTGTGTAACTGTTGAAGTCAATTGCATGTCTGTAATAGTAAATACCAACTGTAAGTTTTTATTTTTTATTCTTTTTTTTTTAGATATCTTTGTTCATAATAGTAAATGATGTTTTGGTAGGAATATTTTAATATTTATAAAGTAAGAAAATATTTATTCTAATAGAATAAGTTTAAGACATGTATTTGTTGATAAAAGTTTTCATATTCTGTTGGCTATTTATTTTAATTCTAAGTATGAAAGGGGTTAACATAGATATATTGATTTTTATTAGATTGCATCACTGTGACCAATACACATTGTGACCTTAACCTTTTGTGCATTTTGCCCTAATTGGGGTAAGGTTTATATTAGGCATATTCCTTATACATATTTATTCATAATGTCAATTAATTATGAGTGTAATATACTATAAATCTTTATAATGAAAAGGTCAACTGTCTGTCATAATTCTGTATCTTAATTTTTATTCATTTTTAATTAATACTTCATTACAATCATGTGAATTTAAATTTGTAAGTAAGTTTTTTTCTTTATTTTTCATTTGTACAGCACACTGCCATTATGATTATCATTAGCATTATTATTATACCATTATAAATGTTGTAACTTGTATGACACAATAAACCTATAAAAGACCAAAATCTGGTTATCACAAATGCAAAACATCGGGTAAGGTTTCTTGCGAATGTTTGGAATAATAATTAATTATAATAATTATATTCATTGGGATTCTAGTAGCACATTTTAGGCATAAAGAGCTGTTTTTAACTATATATTTACTTAAAGAATTTATTAAACCCGGGGTAATATTGTTCTGTTAACTTTTTTTTATTAAGGAATATTTTTCTACGCTGTCACGTGATGACGTCGTGGTGGTGCACTTGTTGGCCCCAGACACTCCGTTGTCTTTATGCAATAGTTAATAATGGTTTACATTTTATCGGTGGCTTTGGTAAATTATCAAACTTTAATTTCTTTAAAAAGTCTAAATTTCCCGAGATATGATTTGAATGCTTCCTTAAAATACCCATGAGAGGAAAAAGCAGAAATAACCTTATTTGTCTCAGTTAAATTGTTAGTTGGACTATAGCGCCTTTATTTAGTAAATAAAAACCCCAAGTATAAAACAGATGCAATAGACTCTGTGGTATCTTTTTTTTATTGATTGACTGTATGTTATTTTACGTCCCGTTTGAGAATTTTCACTCATATAGAGACGTCACCAAAAAACGGTGAAGGGCTTCAAATTAAGACCTTTACTCAGCATTCAGTACCATTGAGAAGTGAGGGATATTTGTCATACCAACGCCTACCGTGACACAGAGCCTCGGGTTTTAATGGTCTCATCCGAAGGCCTGCATCTTTCATTTCAAAGTGCCGAGCGCTTGGCGAAGGAACAGTTGCTACCTAGGTTTTATCGACTTAGGTCAGTTGTGGCCAAAATTCGAACTCACGACCTTCCAATCTCGGAGAGAGCGTCCTTTACGTTGGATTCACTGGGATATATTGAGTGGACATATGAATGGAAGTAACTATTGTTAATTGATAAAACGTCGTCAGTTAAGTTGTTAGTCGGCCCGTAGTGTCTTTAGTAAAACATCCAAATATAAAACAGATAGAGTCTCCGTAGTATCTTTTGAGTTCACGGGGATATACTGAGTCGACATATGAATGGAAGTAACTATTGTGGGGTTTTTTTTCTCGTGTGTTTGATAAATTTTCTGAATTTTAGATTTGATTTTTTTTTTTTTTACATTTTTTAAGTATCAAAATTAATCAATTCTGCTTCATAGGAATATAAAAACAGGTCGGCAAGTAAAGGAGCACAATTAGCGCCCATCGAAATTCCGTTTGCTGGAAAAGACCAGGTCTCCTAGGAATACACAGATGCTGTCAATGAGGATCTCCAGCATTCTTTGAATATCAAATTCAAAGAGCTTGTATTTAGAATCAGAGTGATTTTTCACAAAGTAATTTTGTTGATGACCGATTACAATATATTAAAATTTCTGAGTTTCATTTTAATTAAAGAAGCAATTATACTGTGTATCTTTCTCAAAGAAATATATGCATCAACATAGTTATAATAGATTATTTTGATTTAAACGTCTGACCACATGTACATGATCCCAAAATCTAAGAGCAGCTTCCTCTTATTACAAGCCACCTTTGCAATAAATATATGTTTCTGGATTTCATATATTTTAAAAGAATATCTGATTTTTTAACACATGTGTGTGAAAGGGCCAGGACATTTCTCCTAACCTCTGATCATTTTAATTCTTTTCATTTCCTCTCCCTTCCACAGTTTATATATTAAATCCAAAGTCTGTAGATTGAAAGAAATTTAAATAAGTGCATCAGATTAAAAAAAAGTTTATAAAACAGACAAACAGACAAGTAGCATATTGTTGTACCTATATACATGCTAGCTAGTGACAAGTACATATATAGGGAACTAGCATATTAAAGCATTTAAACAACAGAACATTCATTTTCAATTTACTACCAAAGACGCTTACATTGCTATGTTCCCTTCAACTTTCCTGAAATAAAAATAAGTGGATACTCGTATTTTTTTTTACCTGGAATTCTGTAAATCCTCCACCTGCCACCCTGGGGAGATGGATGATGAAGACAATGTGTGTCTTCCCTGTCTTCTCCTCCTCCAGCTGTTGCAGCTGATCTAACACAGAATACTGGGCACAGGCCACAAGGCTGGCATTCTCATTTCCACTGTCACACTGTACAATCAACAGAGACTCGGCAGCTAAGTCTCTCTCAAAGCTTTGTCTACAAAAGAAGTTTTCCATATTTTTATGAATTTATAGATAATCAGAAGTCCCAAGACTGGCCATTCCTAACGCTAAGCATACTCGGTTTTCACACTTATTTGCCAAAAAATGAGTTTCCAATGGAAATTATCTTCTGTAAAACAACAATAGTGCTGATTTCACAATAGCTAATATGATATGATGTGTTTGAAAAAAATATATACTACAACTACTATTTATAAAAGGATTCTCTATAATAATTGGTGAGAGATAACAATGCATAAGGATGTACTTAATATTAAAACATATTAGATTTGTTTCATCATAAATCATAAAAAACATTACAAAACAAATATAACCATTTAAACTAGTAAATCCCCTTAATAACCCAATCAGTATTAAAAAAAGAAATTACATCAAACAGCTTAATATATTTTGATTTCCAGTCTCGATGTGTTAAAATTGACAAGAGAACAAACTTGTGGCTTGTTCTCATCATTTTAAAATTTTGTTTTGTCAATCTCTGTAAAATATATATATATAATGTACCCCTTTTATTCGGTCAATCAATAGATATATCTACTTCACAGAAAAGCATATCGACCTCGCAATTCTAGGGACCGACCTCAAGAAAGGGCTATAATGTATAATATTGGTATATATATATATATATATATATATATATATATATATATATATATATATATATATATATATATATATATATATATATATATATATATATATGTGCCGATTAGAGAGTTTTGGACTTAACGGGAATTAAGGAGGACGGGGGGTCAACAAATTAACCATCAGATATAACTTATTTTTTTTTAGATATGATACCTTAAGTTGTCAACTATCATTTGGCAAAGAAAAAATCCATACATTTTAGTTTTAAAATTTGATCATATTTGTATATCTTTATATGGAGCTCTTCTTCTAAAGGAGATCAATATAGTCTAAAAATGGCCATGACCACCCAGCCCTCTTAAATATTTTTCTAAAGTTACAAAATGAGAATGATAAATTTTATGACAGGACAAACAAAACCTCCCCTTCCAATCTGAGGGTCATAAAAATATTCGATTTAGGTACTTGTAATGCTGCAGTAATTCGACTTACTTGACTTGTCAACAGAAATGCTGACTCACTTGACCAGCTGTCTTCATATCAAATGACTTATCAAACTTGTTTACATAACTGCTGCTCTGTAACAAATGACTTATCTGACTTTTCAACAGACCTAATAACTTACTGACTTGTCTACAGAACTGCTGCTCTGTATCAAATAACTTACTGGACCTGTCTACAGAATTGCTGACTTACTTGACTTGTCTTTAGAACTTTTGCTCTGTATCAAATGACTTATTTACTTATTTGACTTGTCTACAGAACTGCTGACTTACATGACTTGTCTACAGATCTAATGACTTACTTGACTTGTCTACAGAACTGCTGTTCTGTATCAAATGACTGTAGAGTGAGGAGTGTGATTTGTGTGTGAGGAATGTAGAGGTACTGAGAAAGCTTCGTTATATCAACTGCTGTGCGCAGTTTGGAGTTTGTGGTCACCTAAAATATAATATCAATTGATTAATGAATTTAAAATATATTTTTACGATACTTAGTATTAACGTAATAGCATATATCAATAAACAAACTAGATAGCTAAAGTAATAATTAAGGAAACGTTATTTAGTTTTTCGATTAACTTTACAAGGAAGAAATAAATTGAACTTTATTTACAAACACACACACACACACATTGAGAGAGAGAGAGAGAGAGAGAGAGAGAGAGAGAGAGTCTGATCAATATTCCAATTTTTCTATTTAAAAGAAAAAAATATTTTGAAAAAGTTTATCCAAATTGATTGCAAAAACGTGTAATACAACAGGTACATGTAATCATTTGTATTTTGTCATATTCATTCAGGTGGCTTATTTAAATCATGGAAACAAATTTCTTCCTGGTGTCCATGAGTATAGATAATTTTTGTACGTGTAATATATGATTAATATGTGGTCTTTAATATATGGTCTTGTTAGCCCCATATTTCAAAATTTTGGTTGAGAGCTAAGTGTTTTATTGTCAAAGAAACAGTTTGCTAACTTAATGTCCATCAGTATAGAAGATGGTTTTTATGGGATTGTTATTTATTTTTAGTATATGACCATCCTAAGGCCTAAACCATGGACCCAGGGGACAAAATAAAATCCATCACCGTTTTGGTAAAAATTAGAAAACATGTATAATAATGCAAAAAAACTTATCTGCTAGAAGTTTGTTTTTACTAAAAAAAAGTTAATTTCATAAGATACACGTTAAATGCATTTCTAGTATATTACAAATCAACCTGGAGCCTGGTCCCTGACCTCAGGGATCAAGAATTTCATAATTTGGTAAACAGCCAATAGCTAAGCATGTCAAAACTTTGACTGTTGGATTTAATAGAATATAAAAGATGTCTGAAGATCATTCATTCTGAGGTGTTTGGCTCCATTCCCGAAATGCAGGGACCATTAAGTTCACAATTTTGTTCCACTTGAACCATAGATACTATTTTAAACTTAAGCTGTTCTTGGAAAAAGCTGATAGGTTAAAAAATATGCAAGAATGAAAACAAATGTCAAATGGTCACCTATATAATTCAGGTGACCACCTATAAACAGTTTTGACCACTATATGCCGGGGAGTAAGGAGAACGTGTCCAAATATTTCATGTATTTTTTTGTAATTAAACAACTTATCCCACTCCTAATAGTTTGAAAAAGCAAACTAATTTCACATTTTGAAGCAGTTTAACTCAGCTTTTTCTAGACATGCAAAAAGAATTCGTGTTAAATGTCAAGAAGTAAAGGGAATGGTTTTTAAGTGTTACATAAATTCCTGTAGTGAATGCCCAACTTATTTCTACCTTAGGCATCAAATCAAGGGACTAGCACGAACTACATGATTTTGAAAGAGGAGTTACTGCCAATTATACTCATGTACATGTACATACTTTGCTTCTAAGATAACAAAGAGTATATACATGTAAAAAGATTTTATTAGGTTGCATGAATTTATTTTTGGCTCCACCCTTTCGTCCAGGGGGAAGTGGGTAGGAAGTTTATAAGTGACATACGACTAGACTTAGGGGTGTGTACGGATTTCAAATGGACACCTGACTGACTCCAGTGAAATAAAAGGTCCATGGGCATTGTTAATTACCCGAGTATCAGGTTTTTCTCATGTGATTAACACTTACGGCCTGAATTTCACAGTTTGATTAGGATTCTATGATAATTCTTATATTCATGAAGCATGTACCCTTGAAGCCCTGATATAATGAAGATAAATTTCAATGTATGACTAACCTAGCCCCTCCCCCCATCCCTGATCCATCCCTGATCCATGGTCCCAAAGGACATCACTTTTATTTTGTAGAGGCCTAACTGCTCTGAATAATCAGGCAAACGATTGCACAAAGTCAGTAAAGAAAAAGATCTTAACGAAATATTATTTACTTTCAATTTAGGGCTGACTTAGCCCTATTCTGGAGTTTAAACATTGGCCAGGGGACAAAACATTTTAAAATGTGGACAGTTTGCCTTTTACAAGCCAGTGAACGGGGCATAAAACATGGACCCCTGGAAATTTCGGAGGTGTGATCATGTGCCTACTAGGACTAAACATCCCCTGTCGAGCGGTCACACCCGCCTGATCCCTTTGTATTGATTAGGTAGAGGGAATATTCCATAGTCGAATTTAACATAAAAACAAAGGCATAACTATTGTATGAAAAACTTCAGCCGAAATATGACCCAATGATAGGTAATATCTGCTAACAAGGTCATGATGACAACCATAGAATTTACGAAATGCTAACTTAAGATGAGGTTGTTGAAATCCCTGTAACAGCAACTAATCTGTCAGTAGCCTTCCGCGGTTTAAAAATTGAACGTACTTAGAGCAAGCTCTTGGAATCAAATGAATTAGATGTACACCCCATATGCAGATGATAGCGGAAGGATACTACATAAATAAGGAAAGTTGACAATGGAAAAGCTAGTCATTTCGTTTGTTATGCAATTTAGCTGTAAGTTGGCCCTTATCGTCTATAGTCAACCTCCAAATATGAAACAAATGTTGCAGATTCTGTGGTATCTTTTATTTCGAGTTCACTGGGATATCTAGAGTGGACAAAACATATGTTTCAGTATATGATAAACTTAGCCATTTTCTTTTGCCAAAACATTAGGCCAGAGGGGAGTGGACATGAATTTTACAATTTTACTTAAGGTTTCAGTGTTCATTATAATCATATAAACAATTTATCTTCTAAATGTCCAAGAGTAAAGATGATTTTCAAATGCGATATTTATTTCAACTTATGACCAATGTAGCCCCACAATGGGGCATGAACGATGAACCCAGGGGATATGACTTTAAGGGATTTCTATAGAGTTATGCAATCGTTGTAATAATTACATTTGCCCATATATGTCCTTTATAAATAGAGAAAAATTCAAAGACGCAATGAATTTTTCAATTTGTGACCAAATTATCCACACACTGAAGTCTGGTTCCTGAACTTTTCATGCTAACAGCTTGCCTGCTTGATGTCCAGGGGTACAGAAGAAGATTTTTCCCTATATATTCCCATGTAGAACATAATCCCTTAATATTACAGCACTCTACCACCCTCCCCCTCAGGGGCCACGAATTTAAAAAAAAATGAATCTGCACGGCCTGAGGTTGGGTGCTTTTTAATACGACTAATCAATACCTTGTTATACTTCAGAATAAGATTTTTAAACCTACGTATTGACAGATACAACCATGATCTTAAATTTTGGCCTGCCCTACTGCATCACTATTGGGCCTGCTGTTACTTATCGGGAAACTTTGAATATTTTTCTTTTATATTCAAGTGTTAAATCTTAATCCCCAATGTGGCTTCACCCTTACCTAGAGATTCACTCTTTTACAATTTTGAATATGCAATATGTAAGAAAGTTTTTTTTAATAACAATGTAATATTTTTTTTCCGCCCAGTTGTACTTGTACAGCTATAAAACCTCTTTTTAAATAGCCCCTATAATATTTACACTATTATCTTTTTTACTACCATCTTCCTTTTGAGAATGTGGCCCTTATTTTTGAATACACTTGAATCTCCTATACCCAAGAATGTTTTATCATAAGTTTGGTTGAATTTGGTCAATTGGTTCTGGAGAAGAAACTAAAAATGTTGAGAGAGTTTACGCTCGACGACGGACGAAAAAGGTAGCAACAGGTCACATGATTGACTCAAGTGACTAAAAACAGAAAAAAAATTCTTTGCCTGAGCAAGGAGCCCATCACTATCTTCCATCCTAATCTTCTGGTCAAGATAATATAGTAAATTATCATGCTTCTGTTTTTCATAGTAAATGTTCTCTACAAATTCATATTCCCATTTAGGAACTTTATTTCTTGCCCTCAGCACACCATCAGGAGTGGCACACCACAGTAAGACTTCCTTGGCAGCTTGCATCACCTGGCCAGAAAATGAAACATATTATTTTATCAAAATTGTACTTGTTAATATATTGACTTTTTTTCTTTATGAAACATTTAGCGAGAAGCATTAAATTCCTATTATTGCGAAGTTGAAAATGATCTATGACATCTCTATGACATTTACATCATCATAAAACATTCTTAACTTTCATTCTGGCAATAAATGAAAGTCGATCTCTTATATTATGGTCATGTTTAAAACCTTTGTAAGAGAGATCGACAGACAGAAAGGTAGGTGTGATACAGGAACCTTGACAAATAAAATTATAATGATGCAGTCTTGCATTACTAGAATTCTCTTTTAAGATAACTCTTCCTGCAACAATGCATATATTATTGCATTTCAAACGTCCATCCCTAAGATATTTTCTGTACCTCTTGCTCCATGCCTTCTAAGTCATCATCACTGAATCTCTGGCAGACATGGAGAATTATTGAAGCACACGTATCAGCATTGAATCCCATGAATACATGTCCAATCTTGTATTCAGTTGCTTTCTCTCTGATGAAACCGAAAAATATCAACGATAAGAAAATATAATTATCTCTCACAAATTATGAAAACGCTTCAGGAAGTTGTACCTTTTTAACGGAAAAAACGCTCTTAAAAAAAGAAATCATTATCTTTCCCGTCACTAATTATCTGTTACATTAAGATCTTCAAGAAATTAAATTATAGGTACGGAGAAGAAAGCCACAAATAACCTTGCGTTCCTGAACATTGGTACTGTTATTTTGACAAATTGTTCTGCCCATTTCTCTAACTTCTGAGCCAGCCTGACTTGTACTGGGGACAACATGGTGGAAATGTTGAGGAAATGTTTCTCCAGTCTGTGGATCAGAGGAATGGGGAACTTACTGTACACAACCTCCTTCTTTGCTACAACTATCAGTCTGTAAATGAATTGAAAATTATATAATTTATTGGTTTACATTGCTATGTACAACCTTCTTATCAGCTACAACGATATCAACCTGAGAATACATATACTTTTATTGCTTTCCATAAAATCAATCAGATTTTTGGTATAATCCATTTACAATCAATATCATATTATTTGATTTTAATTCTGTATTAGCTATTTTTTCTCTGCATGCTTTAACAAATTTTGATTTGCAAGTAGCTATAAAAGTACCACATACAATCTATACCTTATTCGACGAATTCCCGCTATAATTAATTTCAATGATTTCAAAGGTCACAAGCTGATAAAATAATGTTCATATATTCTCTGTACCTGAAATTTTTGTGGACTCTACTCTTGACAGGACGAGTTCCCAATCTAAGATCTACATATCTTTCTCTTCCAAAGTATACGTAAATCTGAAAGTATTCATAACTCATTAAAATATAATTTATCAAGTTTTATGCTTAGTTGTGGCGCGATGTGTGTGAATATTATCTCAGCAATATTCTAGAACTATTATAAAATTGGCATAAAGCTTTATAAAATCATATATGAGATCACAATTAGACTACATTACAGTTTTTGATATATATGGATGTTTTTCACTTCCCAAATTATATAACAATAAGATCTTGCCAGCACATCTTAAAATTGATCTACAGTGCAATAAAATTTTATAGAGATTTCAAGAATTAAGATAGACATGCAAATATATGGATGAACAGCCACACAGTGGGACTTGTCTTAACCAAACATCATTGGTTCCATAAATATTTGCCAGATAAAAAAACATTCCGGATAAGACAACATTTAAATCTATTGAATTTACTGAAAACCAGCCGCGACTTATCGTACTAGGTAAGATTTCAGAGTACACAACACATAGATAAGACAAGTTTCTCTATATAAGCAACCATGTGCAAATCAAATGAAGTTCTAAGAACTTATAGGGATCAAAGAATAAATTTCAAATGTTTAAAGCGTCATACAGTATTGAAATTCAATGCATTATAGATAAATTACCTGATCAAGGGCATCATACAGACTTTCATAAAGATTCTCCAAGTTCACAAGGACCGTTGTGTTTCCAGTCTTCATGCAAATCTTTAAACGGTTAATTTTTCCATACATCTATAAAATGTGTACAGAATCTTCCATATTTTGTGGTTGGATATGATTTTTTGTCCACAGATTGTGTATTTTCTATCTCGAGCCTTGGCGATGGGATAGTAAACACACAACGACTTAGATGAAAATCAAATCTTATAATAACCATTAACATATGGGAAATTCTTTTTATCACATGTTTTACACATTCTTTTTATAACATGTTTTACACATAGCTTTAACATTTTTACACTGTTTTTATATGTGACTCCACCTCAATTGACATCATTTTTACGCAAAAACCATTGAAACGTCACAGCTGTTAATATGAAAACGATACCAAATATCCACCGTATAAAGTATGATAAATGTATGTATATATAATATGTGAAGTGAGAATGATGCTACTTCACCGTGTTTAAACCCTAAAAAATACTATAATAAACTATAGTTAACAATAGTTTACTATAGTTAACTATAGTATCAAAGTAAAAACTTTGGAACTTTGATTTACTATAGTGAAAACTTTGGAACTTTAGTTAATTATAGTAAAAACTTTGGAACTTTGATTAACTTTAGTAAAAACTTTGAAACTTTTATTTACTATAGAAAAACCCAAGGAATAATGTTTTTTATTCTCATTATTAACATTTTATGATATTTAATGTTCAAATTCATAAAAGCTTCAGAGAATTTTACATAAACCCGATCCCTCCCCTAAATGAATGTACAAGAAATGAATTTTAATGTAAGGTTGTCTGTCGCGCCACAGATGAGCAACATTTTAATGTATTTAATTAAATGTAGATGTAGTGTATGTTTTTTCATGGAGAAAGGACAATAATAAGCTATAAAATAAAATTCGCTTCATTTAGAACTAAAATACCTTCTCCATCAACTTCAGTAAAAATGTAATTCTTTAAAATTTAGAAATGAAAATATTGCCTTTGAATTAACTAATTTGTAAATTCAAATTAACATACCCCAAAACCCACAGCTCCCACCCAACCCCAACTCCAACCCCTTGCAAAACGGTAAAATAAGCAAAATATTATTTAAATACTTTAATAAGTTGATAAACTATTGTGAAAAAGTTGATATAGTATAGTGATACTTTGATTAACTATAGTAAAAACTTTGGAACTTTGATTTACTATAGTAAAAACTTTGGAACTTTGGTTTACTATAATAGCGAAAACATTAGAACTTTGATTTACTATAGTGAAAACTTTGGAACTTTGATTTACTATAGTTAACTATAGTTTACTAGAGTATTTTTTTTGCTAGTGAAATTCTTGTCATTCACTATAGTGTAGAAACAAGCCTATTGATTGCCCAGCATGGCAAAGCTGACAAGTTTTTTTTTTTTTAAACTTTGCAGTTGAATTTCTCAGACCTGAAAAACAAGTCAAAAGGATTTTTATGGGAGCACTTAGACTCTCTGATTTATTTTTCGTTACAATTACTTTACCTTTAACAACTGGGTAACTTTCCTGGTTGTTATATTCATTATCAAAGTTTAATAAATAGCGGGATATAAGATTTATCGATCTTGGGTAACTTTATCAAAGTGTTTTTGAATTGAAACAATTACATTATCTTTGCAAATTCTTGATTATTGAGTATAATGATTACCTGTATGTAGTCTAATCAATTAGGCACTGTGTCATGTATGACTCCAGATTATCAGATTTTGAAACCTTTGTAAATAATTAAATACTGTTACTTGTAACTGTTACCTGTGTGTATTCTTGATCACTGTTGCTTGATTATTGTAACCTGTTTGTACCATTAATACACATTCTGTTAATCATGGGGTTCTTTTTCTAATTTTATTTTTGTAATTGTACTATGTTTTGTTAACTATGTACCATTCAACAAGAAGTACTGTTATCTGAATATACTTGTCACTTAACACTAAATTATACCTGCTTATACTCTTGATCACCAGGAAAGCTGCTACCAAATATTGTAATAGCATTCTTCATTGTCTGGATCTTCTGTCGCAAAACTGTCAAAGCTCCATAGTTTTCTGTCATTAGTAACAGGTACCGTGTATCACTGAGGAAAAAAAATGATATTTATTTTTTTTTTTAAATTAATTTTAAAAATTTCCATCTTTTTTAAAAAATACATTATTTGATGTTAACAAAAAATGTAATTTCAACATAACAACCTTTAATCAAAATACTTATTCTACCCTAATAAATCCTGGTGTCCTTTAAAATATTTTATTATTATTATTATTATTATTATTATTTTGTTTTGTTTTCATTTGCATAAAAAGTCTGACCTAATATTGTAACTCATACCAGCATCAAGGAGCTTCAATTTGACATAACCAAAATTGAATCCTACGGAAGCCCATTTAGGACCTACATGTATCAAAAAATATTTTCGAATTCGATAAAACAAATTGTCGAATTTGTTATAACGAATGTAATTCGTTATAACAATTTCTTTGAATTCATTTTAATGAATCTAATCTGTTATAACAAATTCGTTATAACGACTTCAAAAAATTGTTATAATGATTTAAATTCGTTTAAATAAATTCTAAAATTAGCTATAACGAATCAAACTCTTAAAATCAAATTCCACAATCAGGGTCTATAGAAAAATATACATGTATATGAATTCAATATAACGATTTGTTATGAGTTACAATATTAGGTCAGACTTTGATATCTAGCTTAGTTTTGGAATTACTGAGGGAAATGTTAAATTAGGCCAATAAATTGGAAACATTGGAGGGCACATGGCTGTAACTTTTGAATTAGAAGATTTTTCAAAAAAACTGAGATACAGTTTTTAAGTTCAATCTTTAATCTACCTTTAGGCAAAATGACCACTTTTAGGGGTTAAATACAAAAAAAATTAATTTATAAAATATTTATGCACTAAAATATACATTAATATTTAAATAATTTTTTAATAAGTTAATAATTAAAGTTTATATTAGGATAATTAAATAGTTAATTTAACAAGCTTTCAAATGATATATACTTTTATTATGTTATCTTTGATATTGAAAGAATTACATGCAAATTAAATTCTGGAATTTGGAAACCATTGGTGTATCCTTAACTAACTGGACATTATCCTTGACAAAATTTTTCACAGATGTGTTTGCATATTGTGAAAATGACTCATTTTCGAGGGGGTTTAATTTTCGTTGTTTTCGAGGTATGAAACTACCCACGAATTTATATCCAGCAAGAAATACAATTTTCCACATAAATTACTTCTCAATAAATCTTCATCTACAAAATCAAATCCACATGAACTCAATTTTTCCCCCAACCACAAAAAAGACCTCACGAAAATAAGTGATTTTGCAGTATATGCATTAGATTAAATTTAATAATCAGTTAATGACCTATCCTATCCCATGATCCATTATTTTCTAAATCTCGAAGCTACACAACTATGAATCATTTGCATATTATGAAGGTTAAGTATCGCTGTGCTTTTCTCGAACTTTTTTTTCAAATTTCTAAATACAGTATTACAGGTTTTTTGTGTGCTTGTTCACTTTTTGTTGGATTCTGTAGATTGGGAAAATCCATAAAAAGTGCAAGCGCAAAATATTTTCAGGAAATTAATTTTCAATGTAAACCCTTTAATGTATTGCTATGTGCTATAATTAGAAAGAAAAAATGCTTACTGCAGTACAAAATAAAAGTAAAATGAACACTACCTTAAAGGTAGTAGAGTATTAAGCTTGCTTTTAATTTGGATTCATCCTGAACACGGTTACACATCAATCTCATACTTAAATACCCAAAACATTGCAATGCTCTGCTTAATCCTTTGTATCCGGTTATCATATTCCATAAATGATTTTTTTTCGCCGACTATTGCAACGGCAGAGAATAAAAGCACGTATATTAATTATTTGCACATTTGAGAGGTCAATTCATAAAAAAAATTTCATCCCCAGAAAATACCTATTTATGGTATCTCTATTTAAAATATAAATCTTCTTCAACCACGGATGATTTGCAGGAAGTTCAGTTAGATTTGCTTTTTGGTTCTACAGAAGAAGTTGAAATTTACGACAGACGGACGCCAGACACTTTTCAGTCAGAAGAGCTCAACTGAGCATTTGATGCAGGTACATGTAAGCTAAAAAGTAATAATGATGATAATTTTAAATAGAATGACAAAAGCGAAATATTGCTTTAATTCGAATTATTTTTGTCTTTCTCGACCTACCTGTCCACTCCATCGCCGTGGAGACAAGCTTTAATGAGACCAGCAGGTGTACAGTCAGGATCTCCCGGTGAAGGCTGAAACACAAAAATTTTTATCTCACTCCGGTACCCCATTTTTTTTATATAAATAAGTTTTAATATTAAATAGCATTACTGATGAAGAAGTAGAGTATAAACAGAGGCACCCAGAGAGTGCTAATTCTAGCAAATTTAGCATAAAGTTAGTGGAGGTAATCAATTTGAATCTTTTTATTAGTCAGTTCATTACAACAGGATTTAAATCGAGTTTTAAAAGATATACATGTAGGAAACACGGGGATTAAGATTGACATACTTAGCTTTCTCAAGGTTATAGGTCGAAATTCCTCGATTAATAATTACAAATTAAATTGTTTTTCATGAAATACCCTGACGATTTCAACTTCAAATTAAAGTATGAAGTTATAAATGATATTTATTCTTAAGAGGCAGTGCACCAAAAAACAAGGAAATGGTTGGCACATCGCAAATCATGCATTTTAATTATTCTTTGCTAGTAGATTGATTAAAGCAAGAATTTATGCATGGCGACATCAATTTTTATTAGTGTTTTTCTAGTCTTATTCTTTGTAAGTGCTTAATTTTGATTACAAAGAAACTCAACAGAATGGTTAAAATTTTATTATAAAAAAAAAATTACTTTTTGATTTATTTCATTTTATTTTTAATTTATTTTTTAATACTCAAAAACTAGAAATGTCAATAAATATCATTTATAATATAACCCATATCTTTTTATTTTATCAATGAATAAAACAGCTATTAATATGTTTTCAATTATAAAATTAGGATGTCTAAAATTGACTTAAACAAGTGACATGATGAATCATTTATTGAATTTTCATTACGTTCTAACAATCATACATTTCAATCTGAATACCTTTTCCTCATAGTATAATAAATACAAACTTCATCAATGTATGTAGGTCTAAGAAGCCCACGATTTCAAGTGGATGTGTGTTATGATGATATATATAGATTTCAATAATTACAATCTTAATTTTTTCCACAGCAGTTGTAAGATGTTGAGAGAAAACATCCAGGGGATCTTGATTTGTTGAGTGTTCAAATCCCCCAAAGTTTCTCCTGATGCAGTGTTGTAGCATCAGCCAGGTGAGTTTCTTGTTGTTCCTCTCAGCAAAATTGTACACCATTTTTATTAAACTGTAAAATACGAACACAAATAAAAATGTTTTCTCGAACTATGACCTTCCTGCCAGTCTGGAATCCTGAGACATGAACTGAACAAAATCTACAAAATTTTGTTCATTATCACATAAATGAAGTTTGTCTGAAAGACGAAGATTTAAAAAAAAACGTATTTTAAATATGATTATGATCAATTTGTGATGTATTCTGGGATTTGAACTTCTTGTACCAAATTCAAATATTTAATCACACAGTTTATTTCCAAAATACCATGCAAAACATCAATCAATAAAAAAATCAATACCATAATGAAAAAGATGAATTAAACGAACAACAATCGATCTCATAATTTCTTTTAACATTACAAATTATGAGCAGGGCACAAAAATAGCACCCCTGGTTGGAAGGTCAGGTGCGAAGGACAAGTAAGCATCCCATGTCAATCGGTTACAACTGACCCCTCTGTATAATCAGGCAAACAGAGTAATCCGTAGTCAGAATTGTGATAATTGGCCTAACAATTTAAAGACTGATCGTACTCAGATTTTGGTCTTGCATAATTTTGACAACTTTATACATGTATGGGACGTTCCAATTTTCTTTTCAATATTGATTCTTGATAATCTTTCTCACTCGAATGGACATTTTACCTGTAGAAATCCCTTAATCCAAAAAATTCCCTCTTTGCGATGATAGATCTAAACACTTGCAAATACGACTCTGTCAGGGGTTTGATCAGTGGTTTAATAATCTTGCTTATTCTCTTGTTTCCAGAGCATATGCCTCTGCAATGAGAATTCAATAGATGCCATAGTATTTGGCAAACTACTTTCTGATACAAATGAAAAAAATGCTCTAATTTGTTACTATAAATAAAAATTCTGACCTTATTGAGTATAATCTGAGAAAATACTTGAATTTCTTTTCAATGTAGATTAAAACTGTTTAAATATCAATTGAATTTCAATAGCATTTGGAGTTTATTACTCTGCACTGTTTACGAGTTCTTCAAGGTCGGGAACCTCCCTCTGTACAAGGATCCCTCGATTCATTTTGGCAGGATCCATGGCCCAGTTAGAAATTCCAATAAAGGCTACCTGAATAATAGAAGGTGGATTGTAACCATAAGTTGAGACTAGCATAGCATAACTCCATACCCATTCATATTGTTTGAAATATATACAAAATAACTTCAAATTAAAAGTAAAGAAAGATAATATAGCCGGTTGCACAATTTGCTCGAATGAAATTATGATTCTGTTATCACTTTTAAATTGTATTTATGCTTAACATACCGGTCAAAAGCATACCGGTACATATTATTAAAGAAGATTTAAAAGTAAAGGTCTAACGCAACAATCAGTGCAGTATCAAACTGCATCCTGATATATATATATATATATATATATATATATATATATATATATATATATATATATATATATATATATATATATATATATATATATATATATATGAAAAAATAGTAGGATTTATAGTAGGGTAGACAGACGTCACAACGACACCTTGGCCCGTCACGCCTAACACCTCGGCCCTGACAGGTCGGCCCAAGATTATCGACACGACAGTCCATATAACAGACACCTCCCCTCAAACAAAATTTATGATAGAAAAAATTATCCCAAGCATATCATAAATTTAATTATTCTTTCTGACAATTCAAAGATTTTTTAAAACAAATTTAAAAGGGGGGGTCTGTGAAAGATAATTAATCAGATCAGTCTATTTCCTGTGGAAAATGTCCAATATGTACACTTAAGTAAAACGAAATTTTATCATTCTAGGAATTCTTACCATATTTTGCATGACTATAATATATTCTATGTCCCTTGAAAAATTGAATTCTTAAATAAAATATATTTTATAGTAACAACATTACGAAGATTTATAGAAAGGCCAAAATGGTCTGTCGCCGCACGAACAAAATCAGAGAAAATTTCCTATTGCTAATTACTATTGGAGATAACGAACAGTAATCAAGGTCAAAAGTCCATTAAAACTAATAGAAAGCAGAGCAAACACGGATCTCTTAAAGCATCAAAGGTGAGAACAGGTGCGATGAACGAATATGCATCCCCTGTCGACCCGTTACTAGTAAACCCGCCGTGTGCTCCTTCATGATCAGGCAAAAGAAAAAAATCCGTATAAAATTTGTGAAAATAATGGCCTAATAATTAGCATTCGACTTAACGATAAATTTAATTTGCTGACAAGGTCATAGTATCGACCATAGAACTTGCATGCTGATGACTTTAAATGGGACTGTTGATATCCTTTTTGCACCAACTTGTTTGTCAATAGCTTGCCTCGAATTTCTTCGTACGTAGATCAGGCTCTTGCGTACCGAATCAACTGGGAGACATAAACTCCATATGAAGATGATAAGGGTATATTGCTACATAAATAAGTAAAGTTGATGTTGACGATAGAAAAGTGGAATTCATCACGTTTATCATAAAGGTTTCTTTTTAGGTAACCATTAATTTTGCTCCTCTTGTTTTTAAAGAAGTAATACAAATTTTCATCATTTAAATCAGAAAATAATATAAGTAATATGTCAAAGAGAGGAGAAGTAACAATTTTCGATTTATTCTGAATGGAGTTTTCTGCAAATGACGTCGTCAAATGATACGCATAAGGATGGTATCATGTATTGTTTTGAATATGGTTTGAACCCCTCAGAGACCTATATATATATATATATATATATATATATATCGCAAAACACACTAGAACGTAAGCAGATATATTGTTAATAAATGGTATAAATATTATTGACAGTTTCACCCCAGTTTCACCCCATCACCGAAAGTAGAAAGATCTAAGAAGTACAGTAATGTTTGTCAATTTCAGACGGCGAGGAAAGTTAGGAGTCATGATCGATGTTAAACATTGTGTATTTTCTAATTCTTACATGTTCAATGTAAGATGGCATTGCAAGGAATCAAATTTGAATATAATCAAGAAAGAAGGACAGTGGTGAATTTTAATGCGTCCTTGGATCAAAGGTGTATTTGAAAAATCAAAGAAGTCTTACAAGACACATTGAACACAAAGGCCAGTAATTTTAAAAAGAATGATCATGACTTGCAAGAGATATTAATTAATTACGCTTGCTTTCGTTTGCCAGCATACACTTTTATGTCAGAATTCTTTATTTTTATAATTTATTATTTTTTTATCTGATCAAATGTGTTTTATTATGAAACTTCATGATCATTTAATGTTGCTTTTTTCTATGACAAGAAAAGAAAGTAATTACTGATAAATTGAAACTAAATTGTTTACACTTTCTAGGACTTTTTGGGACAACCCTTGTTTTCATTCCTATAAAGTATTCAAGTAACTTCAAAGTGATTTATTGGACCGCCCAGCGAATTTCGGACCATTGATCAATTGACCGCCAGTCAATTGTTTGCAAATTTTTCACCAGCAATCTATTGGCGTGGAAGTCCTCATATGTTAGGTAATAAAAAAGTCATTTAATGTATGATCAATCAACAGACAAGAATATTTTTCACAAGGTGCTGAGAACGGTTCAATGTCTACAATTGCCCGAGGTTTATAGAAACCATGCTTGTTGAAAGAGAGTATTATATATACTGAAAGCAAATATTCAACAGCTGTTCAATTGTATCTTTTTATTAAAGTATATCACTTTTATAATAAAAAAAAATCTTGTATTTGTTTAATTTAAAAATATCCCCCTTTTTAGAGTATTTTTTATCTGGGAAAAAATAATAGTTTAAAGAACCTTTTGAAAATAATTTGGTATAAAATTTTGCGAAATTTGAGGAAAAATTAATATCTAAAGTGGTAAGGTCCATAGACTATTCTGCATATAGTGATTTGATATTTGAATATTTGATATTCATATTTTGTTTTAATATTATCATGTTTACAAACTGATAGTTTTTTTTCAAGTACTAAAGGCAACGCAAGAGGAATCGTTTTCTCATGCAATGGCATTAGTATTTTCATTCTGATTAAAACCAAGTCTCGATATTGCTTAACAGTATCAGAAGCAAAAATAATAGAAATTTTCAGGTTAAAGGGTCAGAGTTCAGGGACAAAAGAGCTCTAAAGAGACTTAAATCTAATGCAATTGTATGTTTCTACGCCATGATTTGTTTTTAATATACAATAGATCTAACTGTAGTATTTTACCGACACTGGGAATACTTTCTCATTTTTAGCTTGATGCATGTTTTTAATTTTTTTTTTCAAAAATGGTTGTTTAAATGATGCGTTTATAATCTGTTTATGATTTGGGTGGGCTGTTACTTTGAAGAAACCATACATACATGTAACACAGTGCTTAATTTGGTATAAACAAGATTGTTGGAGCTAAGTTAATGGTTATTACAGATGTGCAAATCTAGAGGGTTAGGACCTTTCATCCTTATATTTTCAGAGTTATTTAATGTATATAATAAAGTAATTAAGAAAAGTAAATCATGAAAATGACCCCCCCCCCCCCAAAAAAAAAAAAGATGGACCCCTTGTAAGTTAGTTAGAAAAGTAATTAATTTGAATCAAATGTTATGTATGTTAAAATGTATGAACAAGGACCATTTCTAAATAGGTAAGATGTATATTATGAAGGAGCAATAAATGATACCTAAACCCAACCCAAGTAATGAAAAAACATTCAACTTTTAACATGATGTCGTTTAATGTGAACTCCTTGTTTTGTTTTTTATTTTCGTTTCATTTTTTTGTTGTTACCAAGCCCATTTCTCATCCAACATTCATTAAAACTTTCAACAGTGTACACTATTTAGACCATTCCGGTCGGTAAAATCTTTTTTCCACCTACTTTCGAATAGAAATCAGGGCTGCGTTCAAGATCGTAGCGTCTAACCGCTAGGAGGTAAATATCAGTCTATTGAACGGAAAGCTAGCCTAGCCGCTAAGTGTTAAATTTCGGAAAAAAATATCAATTAAAACTTATTTTTAGAACAAAAAGATTTTCCATCAAGCGAAAATATATAAGTAAATTTACATTTCAATTGTTAAGATGCAGAAATCAATCCATTTTTTTTTTTTTGTAAAAATGTTGTGCAATTAGCATAAAATAGGCTAGGCTAGTTAAATGTTCAAGATAGTAGCTTTACATAGAGAATACGTAGCTGCTACGCTATTAAACACACCACAGAAGTCTCAGATGAGACTGTACCTCTACTGGTTTTTAATTAGTAAAGGAAAAGAAGAGAAGCAATTGGACCTAAAAGAATGGCAACAGCAATGTAAAACAATGACCTTTGGTTTAATGTCTTTCTGTATCAAGTTTATTTGCAACTGGACAAAATTTGTAGAAGGTGTAGCCTTTTGAAAGAATTTCACAGAAAAATCTTTTTTAGTAACCATGACTACACCTTTTGTTAAAACCAATAACAAATCAAAAGGGTCATGTATCTTATTGAAGCTTAAGTGTACATCTAGCTTTATTAAAATTAGAGTAAAAGTGTAGGAGGTGTAGCATTTTGAAAGAAACTCTTAAAGATTTCTATTTTTAGTAACCATGTGAATAGCATTCATTGAAATCAAATACTTAATAAAAAGAATTATGCGTGTGAGTATAGTCTACTTGTGTCAAATTTTATTGGAGTCATATCAAAACTGTAGAAAAAGTGGCTGTTTGAAAGAATTTCGTTGAAATTTCTACTTTTAGTAACCATGACAACATCGTTCACCAAAATCAATAAAAACCCGATATAAAGAATTAAATGTATTTTTGAGGTCTACAAGAAAAAGTGACTCTTTGAAAGAATTTCATAGAAACCTCTATTTTTGTAACCATGGCAACACGGTTCATCAAAATCAATAACCGAAACACATAATTATATCTTAGAGTAGTGTACTTGTGTGCCCGTTTATACTGAAATATGACTAAAACTGTAGAAGAAGCGTTTTGAAATAATTTTACTGAAATTTCTATTTTTAGTAAATATAGCAACATCGTTCAGAGCAATCAAAAACCGATACACAGAATTATGTTTCTTAGTGTAGTTTACTTGTTTACTCAGTTATATTGAAATCGGACTAAAATTACACGAGAAGTTGCTTTTTAAAAGAATTTCACAAAAATTTCTAGTATTAGTAATTATGACTACTGTTTCTTGAAATTAAAAACTGATATACAGAATTTATGTATCTATGTGTAGTTTACTTGTGTACCAAGCTATTTTAAAATACGACTAAAATGTAGAAGGTGTAGCATTCTAAACAATTTTACAGAAATTTCTATTTTTAATAACCATGACATCATCATTCATCGAAATCAAAAGCCGATAAACAGAATTACTTGTAGTCTGCTTGTGGACTACAATTGCAGAAGGGGAAGCGTTTTGATAGAATTTCACAAATTCTATTTTAAGTAACCATGATAATACAGTCAACGAAATAGAAAATTTTAAACAGTATTAAGTGTCTGATTGTGTACCCAGCTATACTGAAATATGACTAAAACTGTAGGAGGAGTAGCGATTTCAAAGAATTTCTCAGGATTTTCTATTTTTTGTAAACAAGGCAACATCGTTGACAGAAAATTTTAAAAAAAACTATATAGAGAATTATGTATCTTAGTGTGGTTTACCTGTGTACCCAGTTACATTGAAATCAGACTAATATTGAAGAGCACTAGCATTTTGAAAGAATTTCACAAAATTCATTTTCTTTTTTTAGTAACTATGACAACACCGTTCACCGAAATAAAATACTGATACATGTACACACCACACTACAGAGTCCACAGTCATCAAAGGGAGATAAGTTAATTTCTATCTAAATGTCAGTTTTCTTTTAATTAAATTTTTCTCACATTAATAAATAGAATACCGAAATTATTTTTTTTTATTTCTTATTTCTCTTATAAAGATGATTCGAAGCTTCATTTCCTCGAATAACATTTGCATAAGAAGTATTTGTCAGAAAAAAAATCAACTTCACTAACTGTTTCCATGATAACAACTGAAGATTTACTAGAAATATATTTTGAAATAGGATATGAGGTAGTTAACTTCAGAGAAATTTGAAAGAAATATATGACTATGAGATCCAAAAAAGTTAAGAATGAATATTAGTTTTTTGGATGAAATTTAAAACAAAGGGTCATTAGAACATTAAAAAACTATAGACTCTTGAAAATTTTACTTTTTTATGTTCCTCTGGTATTTCATCACCCTGACACCCATCTTCTAGCAAAGTATGCAAAACCTATCGTGAAAAGAGATTTTTTTTATTCACAACACAATTCGTTAACTAATAACAAGATTTACTCAAATAGAATTAATGAATCACTTCAAGAGTAAATTGTAAAAAAAAATGTAAAAACATTCAGGTGGAATAATCCTTAGTGACTACCGTAAACGGCATTTTGGAAGAATCTTCAGCAAGTCCCATCATGTCCAGAACCACAACAGAGACAAATCTATTGAGATCTTTGTCTTTCTGGTACATGGCACACTGACGGAAAATTCCTACAATTCCCTCTGGCATAGACAAACGACTGCATAGGAAAGACAACATTTGTACCTTTTAAAAAATCGAAAGAGGAACAAATATTATAAATTTTACGAGAAAGAATTGAAATTTTCATCCTCCGGAATACGATAACTCTAGAGACGTTATTACCAAACTGACAGTAACTAAGTCATGCTTCATTACCTGTTTGCAGTTCCTGTAAATTTCAGTATGGGCAGCATTTCCCTGCATGGCATCAGCTACAATGGTTTTAGCTAGAGACTTAGAACTCCCAGATTTTCCCACCAAGAAAAGAGGGATTCTGAGCTCTATACAGACCACCATCATAAACACATTCTCTCTCAAAGCCTGGTTCTTGGCAACGCTGGCTCCTAAGTTATCGATCTCCAAGAAAACATTTTGGTATCTAAAAATTCAGTTATTCATTGACTAAGAATAAGTCAGCAACATATCAATTTTTTGAAAATAACATATAGTGTCAAAAGTTTAACAAAAGCATGGTTCCAAAGTCATTCTATTCAATATGCACCTGGTAATAATATCCAACATATGGTCAGCACCTTTTTGACCTGTTGGGAAAATACATGGAGATCTAAACTCATTGACCATTTCCTTTCGGAACTCCTCTCTGTTTTTCAAACAAGCATGGTAGCAGACTCCAAGAGCTAGAACAAGTGACTTTGTCAAATCACTGACAGTCTGAAATGATTTAATAACTTAATTTTCGCATGCATTGTTGTATAGGGAATTTGATTATTATGAATAAAATTGTCAATCGAAATAATATAAATGTCAGAAACCCTGGCTAACCCCGTTGCCCTTCATTTCTTGCTCCTCTTCTTCCCCAGAATCTGTCTCCTCGTCCTCCATCAGATCAAACAGATTTGTCTCCCCTTGACTCTGTCTGTAAAACCAGCTCATCACCTCAAGGACTCTCTCCACATCTCTCAGACTGACAAAACTACACTCATCCTGTAGAATAAACAAGCTCAGACTGACAAAACTACACTCATCCTATAGAATAAACAAATTCAGACTGACAAAAATACACTCATTCTATTGAATAAACCAGCTAAAATTGTCAAAATTACACTAATCCTGTAGAATAAACAAGATCATACTGACACAACCGCACTCATTTTACAAAATAGAAAGTTTACTGGGTTGCATATGAGTATATATTTCATGACAGAACTATCCCATCATGGAAAAATAACAGACAGTCACTGTAAGCACAAATATTATGAAATTTTCGCAATTTTCAGTTTGTAATATAATGTAAACGAATTTATTTCTTAGATTTTAAAGATTACGAGCTCACCTTGACATATGTCTTTATGTAAGGTAAATTCACACACAAAATGAGTTTCCCTGTAGAGTGCATGCTATTATGCAAAATCAAGTAAGTTTTGATTGATTGATTGATTGTATGTTGTTTTACGTCCCATTCGAGAATTTTTCACTCATATAGAGACGTCACCATATACCGGTGAAGGGCTTCAAATTTGGACCTTTACTCGGCACTCAGGGCCATTGAGCAGTGAGGGATCTTTATCGTGCCAACACCTGCCATGACACGGGGCCTCGGTTTTTAAGGTCTCATCCGAAGGGGGGGGGGTAGCATAAACCCCTCTTCAATTCGTCGAGGTAAGCTAAAATTTTCTTTTAGCTAGGATCATTACAGTGCTTTTTCCTAAGGTAATGATTTTATTTAAACGTAAATCTAGAGTATTCTTACCTGCTGTCTTCTCATGAATTCCTGAGCTGATGTAAGAATATGACTGACTGACTTGTTGAAATTTGGTTCATTTGGCAGTTTTCCTTCACGAATCTGAATGTAAAGTAAAAACTTTAAGCAATCTCAATTGTTGGTACAGGAATAATTTCTTATCATAAGCTTTCCAATATTTGGACAAGTTGAAGTACAATATTCGGAAGATTTTGAAAATTGCATTCATTTTGATGGTACTGATCTCATTCCAAAGAGGCTTTCACAATTTTTGATCATCTTTACCCATGAAAAATATGTTCTTTTAAAAATAGTTGAAAATGGTTTAAACGCAGTAGAGAAGAAGCTGGGACTAAAGACAATAGGTCACCAGAGTAACTAAGTTTCTTGGAATATTTTTGCAGAAGGTTAAGCGTGTTAACAAAATGTCCTTGTGTAGAGGAGATACTCAAAGATGTACTTTTTTTCTATATATCACCAAGGAAGTCCAACACTAGGACTTGCACCATACAGACACATTGGGCATGAACTTCACGATTTTGATTACATATATACGAAGGTTCGGAAAGTTTGTGGACTACGTCAATCTTCATTATACTATCCTCGAGAAATTTAAAATGAGTACATTATTATATGTTAAAATATTTATTTTGTTGATGTGTGAAGTTTCATTCCCTGTGATTTAATAGAAGTCATGTTATTTAATTTTATAATCAACATGTTTGGTAACCACAGAGCAAACTCAACAACATTGTAACGTCAAAAACGTAGCTTCATGAGGTTCTTAAAAATACTCTCCCATTACATTTCACACAGTATAGCCCAATAGCAGTGCACGTACTAAAAACTTTTCTTCATCACTTGAAATTATTTTGCTAACATTTATTCCAGTAGTATAATTTTGTTTTTCAATGTTATATTTTTTTATTGTTCAACTGTGCTTTCACAAGATCGGCAACTGTGAAGCGCTTAACTCTCACCATGACGTTGCTAACTTTTTAAAGGATTTGAACAGATTTTTACAGGTAATGCTTTTCTCACAGATCATCCTCGTTTGATATAGAGTCTCTATCATTCAAATACCGCCTGTCCCATGTATACACACATTAATGGCTCCTTTTTGACACATTTCCTACTTCTTCCAGCATTTTCAGAATTTTTTCCAGAGTACAACACAAAATTGTATTGTTAACTGCTGCTCCATGACGTGCTACGACGTCATCTTTCTGCCTTTTTCAATGAAGACTACCTGTCTTCTGAAATTGATTTTTTTGCAACAAAGCAAAATATTAAGTCATAATTTGGAATATGAAACGATGTAACAAATCTTAAATTGATCGTCTAGGATTTTTCTGATTTTGCATCATTTTACAGAGAATATGACTATAGATATTAATCAGTGTACTGATTGTAAATACGAATTTTTGACCTTTTTTAACTCTACATACGTATAAAATAAAATACGATATTTTGAATTTTATTTATACACCTCATTTGAATATTTTGTTGAAACATTTCTATTAAATTTGGACATAATATGACGTAAAGTAAAATAGTTATGACAGTTGTCCACGAACTTTCGAACAACCCTCGTAAAACCCTTGATAGAGAACACTTTGAAATGGCGGTAATAATGAAATTGTTTTATATTAGATTCTAACCAAAAATAGATAGACAAGTCAACAGACATAGCCATTACCATTATACTATTGGTAATATTAAATTAGGAACAATTCATTTTAATTGTGAAGTTTTAAATTTAAAAAGGAACATCAATAAGATTCTAACAATAAAGAACTGACAATATTATATTTTTTATATTAGATTAATCTTTCAATAAAATCCATTAGCTTTTGCCATTTTACGAAATAAAATTGAATAATAATTAAAAAAAGAAATCGGCGATTAAGATCGGAATAGGCCTCCAAAGATTTATTTTTAACTTTTTGAATTCTAGGTTAAAAATAACCCATTCGATTTACAAACCGCGTGATCAACTGTCAAAGAAATGCGGTTACAATATCAATTAATTACAATTAATTTACAGATTGATATAAAAATTTGAATTGTTTTTTGTTTTGGCTCTTGTTCATGTTACTTTCATTTCAATAACTCAGTCTTCATTTAAAACGGTCTTGGAAGAAATTTATACTATAAACCAATGAAGCATGCATTTTTAATACAATTTTGTTTTTACAAATTATCTGAAACAACCATGAATAATTTACATGAACATTTCTTATTTATCGTCAGAAAATCTGTTATTTCCATGCTTATTAAGTGTGCACGTTCATTGAATTTTTTTCTTTCGTCAGAAACTATATATATTTTTTTACATTTAGAAATAGTTGTTACTCAAATATTTTGAATATATGTTGTAAAAAATAAACTGCAGATTTTTAGTCCTCAAATAAGTAATGTATCAAGAGTTCTACTACCTACTTTTCTTTTAACACACTACAGCAGATGTTTACCTTGTTTACCGAATATCTAAGTGAGGAATTAGCTCTTTTAATTAAATGTATTAACCCCGCCTTCTGGGTTGCTGAGACAGCTTGGACAGGTGCTAGGACTGCTTTCTGGGACTGCTATGGGACCACTCTTAGTCCCAAAAAGCAATCCCAGGGACTTTTCTGGGACAACTTTCTATCAGGATGGGTCTAATTGGTGCTAGCTGTTATCCCACGTAAAGAAATAACACCACTTTAGCCCCATCCTGCACCTTTTGGCCATGATTTTGACTAACACGAATCTACAATATGTCAGGAAATTATATTACTATCAATATTATTTTTTTTTAAATTTTATTATTATTATTATTATTATTATTATTATTATTATTTTGGTTTTGTTTGTTTTTTTTTTATTTTGCTTAGTTTTGTTTTTGTTCTTGGTTTTTTTTTTTTGGCTTTTCTTAAATGGATTATCTCCTCTTCAAAGGACATCGTCCTTCATCTTGCAAACTTAAGTATCTGTTCCCCAAGGATACTTTCTGGCAAGCTTGATTGAAATTGGCTTGGTGGTTCATGGAAGGAAGATCAAATTGGAAAAGTTTACGACAACAATTTAGAAATTTATAACAAAATATATTACTAGAGTCTTTCAATTATATGAGCTAAAAATTACAGAGGTCCGTTTTATCGACTACTCTGTTGCAATATGAACATTTTGAAAATGTATAGCAATGTTAAGGTGCACTATGAAGAAGTCAACGGAATAAAGACGTACACAAAGAGATACTTTAAAACCGAAATTATTTTTGTAAAGCTTTTATATTATCACATGACTTTAATATAAATCAATTGACTGATTAACTGTTTGTTGTTTTACGTCTTGTTCGAGAATTTTTCACTCATATAGAGACGTCACCATATACCGGTGAAGGACTGCACTCGACACTCTGGGCCATTGAGCAATGAGGGTTCTTTATCGTGCCATCGCCTACCGTGACATGGGGACTCGTTTTTTAAGGCCTCAACCGAAGGACCCGCAACTTTCACTTCAAAGTGCCGAGCGCTTAGCGAAGGACAGTTGCTACCTATTTTTTCGTCGACTTGGGTCAGTCGCGGCCGTGATTCAAACACACGACCTTTCGATCACTAGTCAATATAGATGAAGTTCCATGATAATTATAAAATAGTTTTGTTGTGCTACTGACTGCAGTAAATTTAATAATTAAAACCATAAAACACAAAAATTCATAATGTTATGGCATCAAGTTGTAACGAAATTGCGCATTATTCATAGTCCCAATACTTCATGATTCAAGCGTATAGGTATAAATTTGAAGCCCTCACCGGTATATGGTGACGTTGCTATAGAGTGAAAAATTCTCGAACGGGATGTAAAACAACACAGAATCAATCTATGTATCTTAACTAAAAAGTAAATTGCAGAAAATGTTTGATACTATTTGTAGTTAAAATCATTATGTCTGTCAACAAATCACAGATATTTGAACATTTTACAGTCAATTTACCAATTAATTTTCATCACTTAATAAACATTTTAAAAAATATATTGCAAGATATAAAATATATAATCATATTTTGAAGTAATAAAAAGTGAAATACTTGCCTTGAATGATTGAAAATATCAAAGTGACGAACTGCTTTACAAGTTTTGAATGAAATATATGTGTCATAATTTTTAAAAAAAAAATTTAATAGAATAAAATATCAGATATTAGGAGTTCTACAAAATTGCGTAAAATAGGATCACTTCAAAATCTGGTATTTTTTTGTAAGAAAATATATATAAAAATTCTTTTTCGTATAGATTTGAAAAATTGTCTAAATGGACATAAAGGCAATTTTTGAGGAATTTAGTGTATAATATGTTTTTCATATTAAAACTTTTCAAACCAGAACTCAGGCATTTAATGTAAAATAACAATCAAAAGTCGTTTTTTTCACATACAAGAGAAGAATCTCAATCAAGGTTTCGATTTTATCATTTATATCTCTGACACGAGTCTGAAGGAAAAAAAAAAGTTTCCTTGATTATGTATTTCAGAAATTCTTTTCGGATATAGTAATATTTTCTTTGTTTCAAATAAAGGTCTACTAATAAAATTCTGAAACCTTTTTATGTATTTGTTTTTCTATTGTCACTTCAGAAATTTTTACAAGAATGTACATACACTATGTATTTATACTTTAAAGATATTTAATGGTAAGTTTAATTCTTTTTCTAAAAATTCAATTTTTCTGGTCATTATTTTTAGTGCATCCATAAGGTAATTATTAAATAAGACAGAAAAAATGGCATTCTTCATATTTATACACTGGTGTATCTTTTGAGTGGGGAAAAAATGTTCTCGCTTTAGGTTAGGCGAGCTCATAATCAAAGATACCATTTTATCATCAATGCAAAACAAAATTTAATTCACGTACGTAACATTATATCATTAGTATATTTTTGAATCATTAATACATGTAGTTGCTACATGTACAGGTGTATGTCAAACAAATATTTAGGTGCAATTTTCACAACTGAAATAGGATGTAAATATAAGGCATCTCATCTATCAATCATGCAAAAATAGTCACTTTGTGTACAAAGTGCATCATTATATTTGCTGTTTCAAAGCATTTCTTACCCTGCACCTGTTTGAATATGTAATAAAAATGTCAATGTAATCAACGTGTATTTTATCTTGCTATACTACATTAAACAATTATAATTATGCAGGACACCAATTCCTGACTTACGTATCTGCGAACCATTCGTTTGATGTACATCTTCTCCACATTAGTGCCTAGCTGTCCAAAGTCCCAAACCAAGGGGAGCATGCTCTGGGGGAGGGGCTGAACTCTGTATACGAGTCTCCTCACTGGAACTTGGTCTGAAATAGATATCAAACTGAATTTATATATTATGCTTAATTAAATAATATACTTATAATTGTCAAAATGTAAATTAACAGATTTCAGATATTTCAGATTAAATTCATCTTAAACAATTATTTTTTACTTTGTTTTCATAATCACGTATAATCGTACACACTGATTTTTTTTATTTCGAAGAAAAGATATAGACAGCATCTTGTAATTTGAGAATTTTTATTCTCTAAGCTTATTTAATGCATCACACACCAATTCTGTCTGTGGTTTTATCAGCATCCACTTGGTACCCCGCTCCAGCTTGTTCTAGTCTCTTGATCAGGTCCTCGGAATGTCTGAAATTGAAAGATTTATTTGCATGATGCAAATTTGAGCACACAGAGAGAGAGAGGGGGGGGGGGCAGAGAAAGAAAGAGAGAGACGGAGGATTAATTTCATAAAGAATACCAGTATGGAACTAGAACTGTCTGAATTGGACTCACTATATATATATATATATATGTAGAGAGAGAGAGAGAGATTGCACTAAAAAAAACGAAAAACATTCTACGCTAAGGTTTGGTCAAAGTGAGCGAATAATTTAAATAAAAATATTTACGAAAAAAATCTTTAAAAATCTCTTTTTCACGAAACAGCAAAGCCTTGATTAGTCATATTCATATGGAATCATTGTCAGGTAGTGTAAATTCAAATTTGTTCAAGTCATAATATAATTTTTTTTAAAATAAATCTTCTTCTCAAGAAGAGTTAAGCAGTGATTAGACATATTTATATGGAAGCATCCTCGTTAGTTTATATTCAAGATTGTTCAAATCATGACACACAGGGGTAGGGAGGGTCCATCATGGGTGATCAAAGTTAAACATGAAAATCCATAGGAGAAATCGTCAAAAAAAAAATTCCCACAGAATACATGTAGCAAATCCATGATTAGTCGTATTAATTCAGAGTATCCTCAGGTACGGTATATTCAAATTTGTCCATCTCATGTCCCAAGAGACATGAGATGTTTAATTTGTTTCATCCATACTGCAGTTTGAATGATATCCCTCCCAAATAGGTAAAAAAGTAAGTATACTCACAATCAAGTCTTTGATCTAATCTAATAACAAAAGAACACAAACAGAAGTCCTTTTTATGATTTGTTGAAAATGTCACATGGAACTCCTATTTTTCAAGAACGTGTAAGTTCTTCACTTACATCCTTTAGAAAATACAGGACTGTCTTTAGAGTATGCAAAAATGAATTAAATTATATTTAAGAATTTGAAAAAAAAAAACTTACGGAACCCTCACCCGATTCGTTGAGAGAGGTAAACATACGCTTCAGGGTATAATTATCATACATGAGCTCTACAAAAAGTTCTACACATGCGAAAGTTCATCACATAGTGTTGATTCAAGTTTGTCCAAACCATGACCTCTATGTGTAGGATGAGGCCACAAAAGGTAATCCAAGTTTTACATGAAAATGTATAGGAAAAATATCTTCAAAAATCTTATCATATTACAATAGATTAATTGGTTACTGCTTAAAATAAAAGAGGAGTTTGAGAAAGAAGAAAGTGTGACAGACGGACGGAAGGACAGACCAGGGTAACAACAATATACCCGAACTTTCTTTAGAAAGTGCAGGTATAACAACGTACTTTCTGTAGGGGTTACAAGCAGCCACAATTTTCAGGGTCTGACAGAGTTTGAGTGGTTCCCCCTCTATTGAGCGGTCACACATAATCTCCTTGATTAGACCTATAGCTTCTGTGGTGTTGGCTTCATCAAAGAACAGCACAGTATACAGTCTCTGTCCATAGTTCGCTGTGTTCTCCTGAGCTATTCTCTCAGCCTCCATCACTTTCCTGATGATGTCACTTCTACGTGTGCCTCCATGAACCTTTATAGCATAAAGATGTACTGAATAACACAATTCAGGGGGAAAGGTCATATCTCAGCAAAAAAGATTCAGCGTGTATATCGTATATCCAATGGACAGGGATGGGGTAATTGTTAAACGTAATTGTAATTGAGTGTAATTAATTACATTTTTCAAAGTAATTGACAGTAATTTGTAATTGACCATTTTTTTCAATTACTTGTAATTGAATATAATTAATTACAATGAACAAAATACCCTGTAATTTCAATTACTTTTCAATTACATTTCAATTATTTTACATAATATATATTATGTGTATTTAATAGGAAAATACTTCCAACAAAGTCACATTTTACAGTTAATTTAATTATTCAAAGAAGCCCTTTTGTTTTTTTTCTTCAGTATTTAAACTCTCTTATATCTCAATAAATGAATTTAATATATTGGCTTGTTTATAAAAATAATAGTTTGTTTTATAGTTATAATGCACATTAAGGATTAATACTAGTTTAATGTTTATCAAAATTTTGTTCTACCTCTCATTGGTGTAGGCATGAAACATTTCAATTTTTTGTTGCTTGATTATCAAAAAAGAATAGAAAATAATCTAATGTATCATTAAGACCTGCCTTGTTGCCCTTGAACTCCCAGCTGTAAATTGCTATCAAAACAACTCTCCAAATTTTATTTAAATTTATACCATGCTTTGTTTAAATTCAAAGTTATGACCACAAGAGGTGATTCATTAAATACTATCAAGAATGCTCTATTATTTATATACATGTACAATGTCCTTGAGAAAAGAAATAAATATTGAATCACTATTTTAACATTTAAACAGATCTTTATATACATGTAAGCATTTGGTATCTGAAATAGATACACGTATTACATAAAACAAGAATTGTCAACATTTGCAACTAAAGGTGTTTAGCTTGCCTACCTGTAGCTGAAATAATTTGAGAGTTTTTTATGGTTGATTTATAAACTCTTGAGAACTTGATTTTAATCAAATTTCATAAAGATAGTCAATTTAAGTGACACCGTGACGGAAAAACGCGAAAATCCACAAAAATAGAATTTATACATGAGACATGCAAATTTTGTTCAGTTCTTGAAAGTATTAGGTTTAAGAAAATTACAGGTTTCAGAACCTAAAAAATCTACTTTAATGGTCAAAAATAAATGTAAAAAAAAATTTGTATAGCCCAACACAAAAATATTGCTTCACTTCTTCCTCTTTATTGTACGCATGCGCTGAAAAGTTGAAGAATTTGCCATGGTTTCAATTCCATAGATATAAATGTCGGATGACTGAGAATTTTTATACAATCTTCAAAAAAGATAATCAGAACTTATTTCTCACTTCTGCTCGCTCCAATTTAATGTTGTTTACAAGTTTCAGGCTAAATATAAAGGACGGGTGACCTTGACATTGTGGACATTGACGATAAAAACAAAGCGATAGATACAGCATTTGTTTTTCCGGCACTTACATTTTGCAGCTTTTTTCTTGCTTTAAAGTGAAGTTGAGTTGCCAAAACTTCGCTATATTCATATTTCACATAAATCTTTTGTTTTGTGATACAACTTTCTTAAAAGAAACACCTGATTTTGACTCATTATGTAACTTTAATTGATAAATGTACATGTCGGACTAGGTATTAATATGTTGATGAAACACACAAACATGACAGGCCCCTAAGATTCCCATAACCTTAAATTTACATGTATACATTTGTTCAAGATTTTAGAAAATGAAACAAAAGTAATTGAAGTGTATTTTATTACATTCTTCAAAGTAATTGAGAGTAATTAATTACTTTTGTAAAAATCAATGTAATTGTAATTGCAAGTAATTGACAAAATTTTCAATGTATTTAAAAGTATTTAATTACATTTCAAAGTAATTGACCCCAACCCTGCCAATGGATGTAAACACATGGCCAACCTGTACTGTTTACCTTCATATGAATCATATTATGAACCTCCTCCCCTAAAGGATACTGAAGCTGACACATGAATTTGACAAGCCGGGTCTTGCCACAGCCAGTTTCTCCCATGATAATCACAGGAATGTCACACCTGAATCAAACAAAAATTAAATTTAGTTTTCCAACAATTTACTTTAAGTTATACATCTCTACATGTACCTTTCTAAAGTTGCTATGACAATCAAAATATATTGTAGAGCTTTTTCCTAAAACAGCTTACTTAAAGCGCATGTAGATGCCCATTATCTTCTTAACATTGTCTGTTGTAAGTTCATAGGACGGGTCAGGGTCAAATACATGTTCCACACCCATCACACTGCACAGTTTATACAACTTCTGATCTCTGTGAAAAAAAAAACAGACTCCATGATAACATGTTCTCACCACATATTACTACAAATTTTGAGAAAATAGAAAATACTTTACGGTAAAACACACAAAGATTACCTTGGTAGACTGTCAAAGTTTTCATTGATAGGGACCCCGTTTCTGGTGAGGGCATCCTGTAGATTTCTCTGCATGATTCCCCTTTCCAACACTATGTTTGTCTGTACATCTATCAGGTTACCAGACTGTCTCTCTATGTTAAATCCGAGGAATGTCATGGAATGATGATCGGGATTAAAGAACAAACAGGGGTTGAAACTAAAGAAAAATAACAGAATATGTCATACATACATTAGGACATAGAATATTAAAAAAATATATTATGGAAATTTGTTAAGCAGTTTCTTCAGCCTTCATTTTTTTCCTTAACACACTTTTATGGATTTTGTCTGCAAAACTAGCTTTATTTTTTCATTCTATTCATTTATTTCAAGTTATAACTATTTCATTTATTTTAATATCTATACTTTAATATCCATATGGAAATTCAATGCAACGACATGGAAAAAAAATGAAATGCACTAAAATAAAAACAGGATGAAACTCTGTCATTCAGTTAACTGAAAGGTGACTGAAAGTCTACTGAAAGGTGACTGAATGGCCAAGCTCTGCCATTCAGTCATCTTTCCAGACCTTTCAGTTGACTGAATGTTGTAGGTTCATCCTGTGAAACTAGATGCTGTCATGAGACGGTAATATCCGTACATATTAGTAAGTGTTTGCCCCTAAATGTACTTTCTGTTCAATCTGGATAATGAAGTACCCACAAAAGTTATTCTTTAATTTACATAAATTGAATTGAGCAAAAAAGCACAGTTGAGCATGTGGCAAATAAGCCTCTTGTGTTAGTACTTCAATAATAAATTCATTACCGCGCAGGTATGTTAAGGCAGTACCCAGATCACATTTCGGCGAATTTAGACTTTTTTCGTAAAATGTAACATTGATAAATCGGAAAAGCCATAGATAAAACATTTACTATTATTATCCATTGTATTGACGTCATTGAGTCTTAGGCTAAAAGAAGCACTCCACTACGACGTCATCACGTGACGTCTATAAATAGAAAAATTGCCTTAATGGAAAAGTGAAAAGTTCAGCACTACCCCGGAGATAATTCATTTCTTTTAGTGAAAATAATTATGTAAAAACATCACTTGGCCATGAAAAGTGCTGCTAGAATCCTACTCTCCCGACACAGAAAAAAATATTCCAAAGTTTCACATGAAACCTTACCAAATTTTTTTCATTTTATACATATGATCATGGAATTGCTATCAATTCATGTTAACCACACGATTCTAGCAGCACTTTCCAAGTATTATAGAATAAAAGCTTTCGATACAAACAAAAATTATGTTTCAAAGTATGCGGCGTAGTGTTGAACTTTTGCATCTTTGTTGTTATAGATCGACAGAGGAAAGGCTGTTCGGGATTTCAAAGCAATGCCTGTGTTCATTATAAGAAAACATGATAAGAATATATCAGCGTACCTGATTCTTAATCTTTAATTTCTTATGAATCACACATAACATTCACGGTATATGCTTTAAAACTCCCATTTCATATATTTGTTTACATGAATTCTCGTCACCTTTAATTTCACTCGGCAAATAGTTGATCAATAGTTATGACGTCATGGGTTTGGTATTTAACCCCCGTGCTAAATAATTAGCTACTCTTACCACCCAAAAACGACAAGATTTAGTTTATATTATGTTTTTAATGATTCCATCCATTTCTTTGACCTGAAATTATACTTTAAATATAGATATTAAGAAATCATTATTTCTAAGGTTCACGTCATACCGCTTACTATGACGTCATATTGTAAAGACAAGTAGGATTTCTCTGGGTGTAGCCTTAACATAACCGCGCGGTCTGAAGTTCTCTCTAAGAAAATTTTTGTTGGGAATGTTTTTGGAAAAAATCAGTTTATATTTAGAAGTTGATGCCCACCGTCACAGTAGCTCAGTCGATAAAGTGCTCGCTTCTTGATCGGAAGGTCGTGTGTTCGAATCACGGCTGTGACTGACCTAAGTCGATAAAAAATAGGGAGCAGCTGTTCCTTCGCCAAGCGCCCGACACTTTGAGTGAAAGTCTTTCGGATGAGATATTAAAAACCGAGTCCCCGTGTCACGGTAGGCATTGGCACGTTAAAGAACCCCCACTGCTCAATGGCCCAGGAATACAGAATACTGGTAAGTATCTTTAAAGAAAGCTTTACCCTGTACCAGATATATAACCTTGTGTCATGACACATAAAATAGTATATATTTTTTGTTATGATCCCTGGAGGTCATTCCCATCCGCTGAAAATGGAAATGGTCAAATATATCAAAAAAACATTTAAACTTCACTCTCAACCATAATGTAACCTTGTTCTTTGTGCCAGGACACATTAAACATAATATACTTGTAGGTCATGACCCCTGAAGGTCAACACGTGACTTTGTGAATGGACGTAAAGTTTCGGTGCTCTGAGTTTTAAGTAAAAATGCGTTTTAAACAGTGTGAATTTGTGCCATATCTTGATGTTACTGAATATAATGACTGGAATTAGACAAAACAAGCAAAAGAAGAGGAAAAAGGCCAAAAGTAGCAGCAGTTATAGAGATAGTGAAGTCAGTCCCGATTTTAAATATTTCAAAGCCGAGGACACCACTTTGAACAGTAATCACGAGCAGATCGAGCGAGATATAACGGTGAGTGATTAACTGAATCAAGCAAATTCTATTTTATACGCGTCCACTGAGGAGCTTAATAACAGTACTAGAAACAAATCTGACAGTGAAACAGTTAGTAGTGTATTTGATGATTCATTCACTTTCCATGAAAAGTCACTGGATAATATAAATATGGCGTCAAATCAAACAAGCTCTGACTCTGTTTCAGGAAAACTAGATACATAATTGTCTGTAGTCCTTGATTTAAAAAATAATCAGGAAAGTATGAAGCGCATGGTTGAGTCCAAGTTAGACAAACAAATAACTGATTTGATGGAAAATGATGAAAAAAAGATTCGATCATTGAAGGATGAGTTATCCTTAGACTTGGCTCGAGAAACAAATCGCACTGATCAAATTCGCACTTCTATACAAAAAAATCCATATATTCACGTCTGAACAATTTAGAAAAACAAGAAAAACATGTAACATGGGGATTACGGACACTCGTTAGATCCGCTAGATAACAATGGAATCTCTATTACATCTAGTGGCATCCCTGTCACTGAAGATGAAAACGTAATGCAAAAAGCTGAAAATTTGATTCAAGCACTGGGAGAAACCGTATCACAATACGTTCAGATAACAAGCGCAGTCCGGCTTCCATCAAGATTTCCAAAACCAGGCCTTGTTAAAATAAGCTTCCAAAATAACGAAGAAAAAAATGTGTGCTGTAACAGCAGAAAAAGTACCATGGAATTAGAATTCTTGAGAGGGTCCTCCAAAACATACATTTTTGCATTTTTGTCGGGAACAATTAAGATTTACATGTACGTACGTATGGCCTTGGGATCAGCTCCGACCTTCTTTGAACATTTCGATTAAAATATCTTTGTTCGGTGTATATTTTCTCTCCCCCTGACCTTCCCTGGCCCACACTTCACCCATGGGTAGAGGGTGTGCAAGGACCTCGAACCAAGCAAAGGTCAAGGTCAAAAAATCTCTGTGTAAATCCTTGTTCGGGGCATATTTTCTCTCTCCTTTGCTGAGTTGGGCTCAACTTAATCCATAGAGTGCCCTTGGGTAGAGGGTGTATAGTGACCTTAAACCAATTTTCTAGATGAAAGGTCAAGGTCAGAAAATATCTTTGCAAAAAACAAAATCCTTGTTCAGAGCATTTTTCTTCCCCTTGGCTCAGCCGGACTCAACTTCACCTCAGGAGTGCACCTTGCTAGAGGTTGTGCAGTGAAAATTAATTAATCTTTTAGATGAAAGCTTATGATCTAAAAACATTTCTGTATAAAATCCTTGTTCAAAACATATTTTCTCTCCCTTTGGCTCAGTTGGGCTCATTTTTCACTCATAGTGTTCCTGGGATGTAGACTGAAATTGAACCAACTTACTAGATGAAAGTTAAAGTTCAAAACCTCTTTGTGTAAGATCCTTGTCCAGGGTATATATTCTCTCTCCTTGGCCCTACCTCAAACTTCCAAGTTTCTAGGCTGGTGGTCAAGTTTATAGCAAACCTTTATTTTTCTTAATCTTTTCTTCCTTCCATCCAGGCAATAACCAAGAAATTATAAGCGAGTTACTAACTTAAATCCATCAGAATATACACGACTGACTTTATTCAAATTTTGTGTATGCAGAAATTAAAATTATGCTTTAAACTACTCACGTGGACCCTCACCTGACTTGTTGCAGACGGGTTAACATGCTCATCAGGGTATAATTATCTTACATGAGCCTGTACAAAATTGGATTACGTTATCATTATTTTAATTAAAAAAACAAGAAACATACTAGAGGTGTGATGAAATAGATAGAAACACAGCTGATTTCGCGTTCAAAACGTTACATTTTGTATTTTTTTAAACTTCTCCCTCGCCTTGATTTGCCCCCGCCCCTTTTTTTGCTCAGTACCAAATATCATGGTACTTGGGAAAAGTTAACCAACATATACTTATCCTATGCATCCAAAATTTAAGGAAGAGCTATGCATTGAGTATTATGTTGAGAGGGTGCCCCAAAGTCATCCATAACCCTTAGTTTTAGTTCACCTGAGGTAAAGGCTCAAGTAGCTTTTCTGATCAAAATTTGTCTCTATTGTCTTGCATTGTTGATGTCTTCATCAAGTTTTTCCGACATGATCTTCTTCTCAAAAACTGCTAGAACAATTTAAACAAAAATGCCTCAAAGTATCATTGTGTGAAGGGGATTTATTCAAATTTGTTCAAATGAAGGGTCAAGCCCTCTTTTGATGAGAGATAAGAATGAATGAAAATTTTAAAAATCTTTTCAAGAACCACTGGGCCAGAAAAGTTTAAATTTATGTGAAAGCTTTATTACATAGTGTAGATTCAAGTTTGTCCAAATCATGACCCCCAGGAGTAGGGTGGGATCACAAGAGGCAATCTAAGATTTACATGGGAACATATAGGTAAAAATCTTCAAAAAATCTTCTTAAGAACCATTTCGCAAGAAGGGCGGTAGATAAATGTACATGAATGTGCTTTGTAATATATAACAAGAGGCCCAAGGGCCTTAACGGTTTCCTGAGTATAATACAACAACTTAGAGGATCCAAAGAGTATAAAATAAAGTGATAGATGAAGCTTTTCTGCCCAAAAGCAAGAGAAGTAAGAAGATCAACAAAATAATTAGTCTATTATTCAGTAACAATTCATAAATTAAGTTCTAATCTGTCCCCCACTTACCACTATCACCATGCAGATTATTAACATACTATTAGTACTTCTGTACTATTTTAACCCCATATTAAAACCTCTCACATTGACCTCTCTTGGTCTTTGAAGAACATTTAATGAGATAAGTTATTTTTGTCATATTTTTATTTATCTATTAATTACAGGTCTACCTGATCATTTAAACTAAGAAAGTACTTTTTGTATTATGCATTAAAGGAGCATTCTTGCCTATTAAAATCATGCAGTACTTAGTTTGTTTAAATAATTTTAGGGACAGAGGAGAAGATTCTCAAAGTTTTAATGCATTTCCACTATAGAATAAATAGAGCCCCGCCCTAACACCCGAACCCCTGACCCAGGGGCCATGAAATTTACAATTTTGAAAGAGGCATCTTTGCTCATCATAACTATCTACTCAATTAGTTTGTTTAATATCTAGAAACAGAGAAGAAGATTTTCAGTATTAATGCATTTTCACTATAGAACCCACCATAAAAAAACATCGAATTATTTAAAAAAAAGTCTAAGAAATTAAAAAATATATATATCATAGTATAAATAGAAATTATGGACTGTTATTTTTGAGATTAAAATGTTTTTTAAGTATGAATTTCTTCTTTGATGCCAGAAAAGAAAAAAAAAGATTTCAAAGTCGGTATCTTGTGTGCTTATGATTACCTCTAGAACTGATAGAGGTCAAACATCGGCGACACATCGGAAAAAAACTATCATTGATTGTGTCATATTGTTCAACTTTTCCATTAACGCCTGATACAACTAGAAGTGAGTTGTCCCAAGGCATCCAAAACGTGCTACATTGGTGACAAATACAGTGATTGATTGGGTCAAGGCAAATAGTTTATATTTTGAACTTGTGAAAAAGCCAAAGATATTCTTATCCTGCTGAAATATCCTTAAAGTAACATTGGTAGCCGATTGTTATCTCTTCAGCGTTGAGACGTAAGAGACTTGTCACAGAAGTTGAGCTGAAATTTATAGTGATTGGAAAGAGCATCCCAAGCCTATGGTCCTACCATTACCGTTAACATGCTGGAGAGAGCTGCTGGCAAACCGTTCATTTTCTGTCCAGACAATCTGCATTTGGAACTCAGAATCCAAATTTTTCTAAAAACAAAACCTCTCGCCATCTTTGCCTTGATAGGTTCTTGTCCATCCTAACCGCCGCTGACAATGGTTTTGTGTCTTCTAGGGGTTAACCAGCTGTTGATTCAGCAGTTTTGAACCGGTTGCATTTGTATGCGGCGATCTTGGATTGTGGAAACTCTTCATGCACCTAGTCTAGTACGATCAGTTGTTGTTAAAAATCTTTATCTAAGGTGCACAATAGTGCTGGGTGGTGATGAAACGAATCTGAAACAATTTTCACTGGTAAAACAGCTCTTAACATGCCAAGAGCTTGGTTGCACTCATTTATGGAAAGTTCTGGCATTTATTAGCTCGATCCCCGAAAGAATTCACAGAATACACCAAGAACATTCTCTAAATTTCATTTTGAAATGTGTATCTGCATTGTTCTTCGAAATATCCACATTAAAGAAATCTATTGCACCCGAAATCAGATAGCACAAATAACAAATCCGTGTTTGAATACGAAAGAAAACCTTTCCAGTTGATTTAATAATGTTAAAATGGTACCTTCTGTGAAAATCAAAGATATTCTTAGAAAAAAAAAAATTAAAAATGAGAAAAATATCATAAAAATAACTTATTTTGTGATGCGTTTATTATGATGGTCAGTATATTTTGAAAATTAAACTCTTATTGAATATTTGAAAAAAGAGATTTGGAAGAAACTTTTTCCAAACGCTGACAGGAACATACCGGTACAGAGTGTACCTAGAATCCAATTCAAAGAAATATATGAAAAAAATACTGATAACATGGTAGAGAGAACCTGCCAGAATACAGATTTTACCTGTTCTCCCACGTCCTCCTGAGCTGAAATTGACGAAGCACGTCCTCATCCTCCTCCTCCTCAGCGTCCATCCTCTGTAACATCTGTATGGGGGACTCTTCACTCATGTTCAAGGAGCGGGTTGCAAAATTCTGAAATATTTAGTCCTTGTCTTTCACAAATTCTATACAACTAGATTTTATAGAGACAGTGACAGTTTCAAAGGGTATCACTTTTAAATCTTGGTATAAAGAGAAATAGAATTTGCTAGATGAATTTCTTGTTATAAGCTAAAAATATGAGGCATGTGGTACACTAATCCCTGTTTGAGTCGCCTTGGACATAATTGTTCAACATATGATTTTTTTTCTCTTTAATTTCCAATTAAAACATGTTTTAACCATACTGTAGCCCTACTTAGAATCAAGAAACTATGAGCGTACGAAACCTGAATCCAAATAACATGAACACCCAAATTGACTACCGTAGTCTTGCTTGATTGAGAAGATTTTTATTTTTTTTTTATATAAATATATTCTCATATACATACATTATCAAAAAATTCGATAGCACATTTAATCCTCACTAAAACTCTAGAGACTTCACTGTAAAACACAAAAATAATCAGGACAAAAGTTTTTGCATTTCCTTATGATTCATTTTGTCCCTGCTTCGATTGAAAGTACATCTTTCTGAAAGCCCTTAACTATGTCTATATAACTATAGGTCCACATTTCAGCCCACTTTTGTTCTAGGGCCATAATTTGATGAACATTATGATTTGATCCACATTACACTTTATCGAATAATTGCATTTTGTAAGGAGTCATTCTAGTCATTGTTTTCGAGAATTTTGATCTTCTTGTGGTCTCATCCTACCTCTTGGAACCACGGGGATTTAGACATTTGTTCAGAATGAGATTTTACAAAATCAAAAGGCCCATTGGCCACAACGCTCATCCAAGGCACTTTTTCAAATCATTAAAGATTTCTTTTAAGTTTATCTTTACGTTTAAAGAAAAATGACCCAAAACTGAACTTGAACATATTGAAGACTGTTCTATATGAGGATGGATGCATGTTATCATGCCTGATCATTTCTTATTTTTTCCAATATATTCTTTGCATTTTGGGGGAATTTTTGCGTCCTAATATGATTATCATGATACATCTATCCTTGAGAAGATTTTCACAAAAACTAAAATACCCCTATTGTGACCTCATTGCGCCCTAGAAGCTATGAATTGCACAACCTTCAATCTGCTGTACTTGAGGATACTTAACTTTCAATATGACTAATTATGGCCATACTTTCTTGAGAAGATGTTAAGGACCACATGCAAAACTTTGATCCCTTTTGGGACCCCATCGTACCTTTGAACACGCTTCTATCTGCACTACCTGAGAACGCATAATATTATTAGAGAATGGGAGAAAATTCCTAAAATACCCTAGACATCTGGATGAGGAATCTTAGGACAAATTGTGAAAATCCGGGTAGATCTTCAGCAGCTGCCAGACTGACAAAATCTGAAGTTTCAAAGTCCAAAAGCTGTGTGTTAAGGAACCAGACAAAATGTCGCAGCTCTGCCCACGAGGGATCCCTGATACCACAGTGTCTGTTTGAAAAGTTTTTAAAAAAAGAAATACACGCAAGTCCTTCCAAATTATGCAAAGTGCACTTTTTAACCAGAAAATATTTTAACAAAAATTCGAAGGATGTACCTGACACTTAGATATCATTACATCATTTTTTTTTATATCTCTCTCAAAAGTATGTATAGAGTACCCGGATATTTTCAGATCTACATCGGTCCGCACTGTAAATGCCTGAGGACTATTTTGTTGTTTCTGACGTCACAATGTATCATCCTGTGAAGAGACGGGATAATATATTGTGGCTTAACAAACAACAAAATAGTCCTCAAGCATTTACAGTGCGGGCCGATAAAGCTCTTTAAATGCCATGTACATTTGACGTCAAATATACTAGTTAAACTGGTAGTTGCTAATGTCATAAACATCTTAATGACCAAAACGTTAGGAAGATTCCATTCATATATATCAGAATAAATATATTGGTCATATCAAAATATGTTATAAAAAGGTTATTGACTGAATGTCGGGAAATATGCCTACCCTTGTTCTTTGCGCGGATCCGATGTGGACCTCGCAAGCTCGATCCACATCCGACCTCAGGCGGGGATATTTTCTGATGTTCTTTCAATTACCTATACATGTATATAACAGTAAAGGAGAATAAACTTTAATAACATCTATATGGTCAATTCTTCGTCTGTATTACTTGAGCAGTGTCTGTAGACAAGTTTGGGGGTTTCCCTCTGTTCTTCTCAAGTTCACATCCCCGACTCCTCGATTCATGTCCAGTCTGTACAAATACTGGAAAGGTCTCTGGAAAACATCGCTTCGGAATTCCTTGTCATCAAACAGCAAGTCATTCTGACCAATATCTAGAAATAAAAGCATGTTAATGACATTAAAATTATTCTTGAAGCACTCTAACGATTGATAAAATTGCAAAATTTATATAATCGCCCGCGTGGCGCAGTGGTTAGAGCGTCTGCTCTAGAGTCGCGTTGATCCTTACGTCGCGGGTTCGAATCCCACTGTGGGACGTGGAGACCGGTCCTTCGGATGAGACCGTATAAACCGAGGTCCCGTGTCGCAGTAGGTGCTGGCACGAAAAAGATCCCTCACTTCTCAATGGCCGTAAGTGCCGAGAATAGGACAAAATTTGCAGCTCTCCACCGGCAAGTGGTGGCGTCTCCATATGAGTGAAAAATTCTCGAGAGGGACGTTAAACAACATACCAACAAACAAAACATATATACATATAAATGGTTATTTCTTTTTGACGTATTGTAATAACTAAAATCGGATACACATGCATACAAAAATGCATTTAAAGCAGGTTTTGCACACCGATACCAAGTGTAACTTAGTAAGATGTTTTTCCACGTACAAAAGTGCAACAGCATTTTTCTTCAAATTCTCTGTTAGGATAGCGCACATCATCCAAAGCCTTCGACTTTCATAAAGTGTGGGAATTGTTTGATCAAATGAATTCAAAAAGTTATTCTAATATTGTTTAGGTGTATCCTTAGTCTCCTTGTGTTCCAGGTCTTATCGAAACAACATCGAAACTGTAAGAAGGAGTACCATTTTGAAAAAAAGATTCAATGAATTATTCCGAAAGAACAAAGTTCACTTGGGGCCTTTTTTGGCCCTGTGAATTTCTGAAAAACTGAAACTGCTTAGTTTTAGTTGACAATGCATTAAATTTCATTTAGATATTTGGTGATTGCGAATCTACCAAAAATGACGTAATTTTCTGGCTAGTCAATGCATTATGACGTCATGAAATGCGTCATTTTCCCCATATCCTGAACAATTCTACAAAAACAGCCAATTTTTAAAGCTATTTTTCGATATTTAATATAGAGCGCAATCTCTGATCTAAAATATGCAATTATTTACTGATAGAACCGTTTCTGAGGATTACAAAACATGTTTTATTTTTTAGATCAGAGGGTGCGCTCATATTATTTTTCTTCTCTGAAAGTACTTAAATATACCTCTTTTCCTTAAAATTCAAGAACATTGCAATTCCATAAAGCTTGTTTTCCAAGACCTGGACTTTAAGGAGAAAAATTTTAATAGGAAATGAAAGCACTAAGTCTCTACTTTATCTTGACGTTTAAAATGGAACATAAGGTGTTAGTCAATAAATTGGTATATCTACAGGGCCATTTTATGCATAAAGTGAACCTAGCTCTTTGTCCATGACATGTCAAAGAGAAAGCAGCCAGATAGAGCAACAAGAAAAGTCTATGCGAAATAAGAGGAGCACTGTCAGGAAAGAATGTGAACACCATGTTCCACTGAGGGACAAACAAGACAATATTGCCACCAACGATATAGGATAAAGAATCAAATACTCTTTAAATCGACAACCACAACCCAGTCTTGCAGGTATACCACCAGCAAATAATAATCTTCACATCAATTCGGTGTAACCATGTAGAATAGAAACCGAAGCCATAAAGATATTAAAGAACGGAAAGACAGCTGATTCAGATGGAATCCGTCCTAGGGCACTCAAGTCTGAAGAGATATGTTACAACCATCTCTGCAATAGATATAAGAATAAACTCTATAGGCCTATGAATTACAGGGCTCACCTCCGTCACTTTGACAAGGCCACTTTCATTTCATCAATATTTTGACCCTTGCTGTAGACTAATTCAAAAGATAGAGTAATTATGATTTATTTATAGTTAAATCAGCACAACATAGGGATGCTTCAAAATCAATATGATCACCATCGTCCTGCTTGAATTAACACAACCTGAGGATGCCCCAAACAATCATGAATAATCATAGAGAATCAAATAAAAGAAAAAAAGAACAGTAGCAGCAGGGTTCCACTGGTAATCACATACCATCCTGTCCTTAATGAACTAAAAGATGTTCTTATAAAGACCTCAGCCATTCTTTCATCCAACAAAAGAATGGCTGAGGTCTTTAAGGAAACTCTATTGGCTGCCTATAGGCGCCCAAGGAACTTGAAGGATATGGTAATAAGAACCAGATTGGGTACCCAGCGGGGGTTTAAAACTTGTTCTGACAGAAGATGTCTTCTCTGTAAGCACAGCTCTGACATGACACAGACAGTTTTAACAGCCCGGTATCAGGCTGCAGCTACAGAATATTAGGGAACTTATCCTGTTAAACAGATAACTGCATATATCTCATCAGCTGTAAAGTATGTCAAAGGCAGTATGTTTGTAAAACGGGAGATCTCCACAGAAGAATCAATAATAACCGTTCGACCATTAAGACCAAGAAAATCAATGAACCAGTTGGGGAACATTTCAACCTCGAAGGTCACAAATGGGAGGACAAGACAGTAGTGGTTATTGCCCATAATCCAAGATGGACAGACACTCAGGGAAAAAGCAAGGAAAAGTTCTGGATGCACAGACTGAAATAATTCCGCCCTAATGGCATAAACAAACTAAATGACTTCACCAGGATGAACGTGAACTAAATCAAATTCCTGATTGTGACAAACAAGAACATTTTCTCCATATATAGTGTAAACTTTACAGTTAGTTCGCATTATCAATTCCGAAAGGACGCACACACTATGTTTTGCTAACATTTTTGTTTATTATTCTTTTATCCAATAAACAGACCTCAAAACATTTCCAAATTTATAATAGATCCAAATTCATGTTTGAAAATTTCCTTTCTATATTATCTTTCTTTGCATTGGTTTCTTTTATTAGCATAGTTATACTATTTTGAGACAATAAGACAGTGTACGATTTACTACATGGTCGTAATTAATTAGCGATAATTAATCCGTTCAATCGCACTTCAACAGAGTACACCCGACAGACCAGACGTATTTCATAGCGGTCCGAATTCCTTTCTTTACAACTGTTTAAAAACTTCAAATTAAATATGTAGCATTGTAAATATATTGTGTTTGGTAGTTTAATAGTAGTGCTAGTTGTGTTTTGTTTCTCTATTTCCTTTGTTTTTATGACTTCTTAACTTTTTCTATGTACTGAGGAAGGGACGGGGCGTCCCGAAAATTTGACAATTTTTTTATTGTTCACACCCTAACAAAAATTTACCATAGTTAACTATAGTGAAAACTTTGATACTTTGATTTACTATTAAACTTTACTCTCGTACTTTTTTGAGATTTCAAAGCTTAAAATCTCTAAAATTTGATAACAGTAACGTAAAATTTGGAAATAATGTGTGAATATACAAATAATATTTCAATTTAATAAAAAAAAATGTACAGGTATGAATTGAAGAACAAAAAATATAACACCTTGATTTACTATAGTTAATTATAGTACTTTTTTTGTTAGGGCATTTATACATAGATAATATATATATATATATATATATATATATATATATATATATATATATATATATATATATATATATATATATATGATCGCCCATTATGACCCTAGTAGCACCAGTGGCACGACCATAGCCCCGGAACTCGTGACTTGTTCAATGAAACCTTCAAAGAAGTTTCATCTTTTCTGGTCCATTGGTTCTTTAAAAGTGGGTTTTTAAGGGATGCTATAATTATCACTGAATAAAACTCTGCCATCGAGTTAACTGAAAGGTGATTGGTAGATTTCTGCCTTTCAGTCACCTTTCAAGACCTTTCAGTGACCATTCAGTTGACTAAAAGGTGCAGCTTAATCCTGTGTTTTCACTAATTATTAATCATCTACCCTTGAATAAGGGCTAGGCGCTTTATTTGAACAAATTTGAATCCCCTTTACCCAAGAAGGCTTTGTTATAATTTGGTTAAATTTGCCCTATGGTTCGTTAGAAGTAGAGAATTTGAAAAATTTATAGATGACAGATGTCAACACAACAGACGACAGACGAAGTACGACAGACGGACTGTGGACATGTTATGTAAAAGCTGACTTGAACATCTGGCTCAGGTGAGCTAAAAAAACCCAGATACTTGGTCAAATACAAAAGATAGGTGACCTTTCCAGTGTGGAAATTGGCAAGGAATCATGCTCCTATCCATAGTCAACAAGACTGTAACAAGAGTAGTCTTGTAAACAATGAAATGACAAGAAAATAAGATTAGAGCAATCAGGCAAGACAGATTGTGCAAAGATCACATTTCCACTATGCGTATGTCATTGAACAGTCTATTGAATAGCAGTCTCAAAATTCTCAAATTTTTGGCCTTTGAGAAAGTATGGATGTTTATGCAGCATTATGGTAATCAGTCAAAGTTCATCAATATCATCAGGTATAATGATGCCACAGGTCACAAACTCAAAGATCCTTTTTCTGTGGGAACAGGGGTAAGGAGAGGTTGCAACGCGTTCCTGATAATCATTGACTTGATCATTCAGGAAACAGCAAATCGCAGAATCTTTTGAACCTTCCCCCAAATAGCTCGAGGGCCTGAATTTTACGGATGACATTAATCTACTCTCCAACTTACAAAAACACGCTTGAGAGAATTTGCAATGCTCGTTATCAGGAGCACAAAAAGACCGGCTTGAAAATAAACACCAAAAAGTCAAAATTTATTATGTGAATCAAATACAAACAGAAGTTATGAGTCCAGTTTATTTGAGGGAACATAAAAGAAACTGGCAGATTCACCTTTTTCAGGAGTGTCATCAGCAAGATGAAGGCACAGATTACGAATCAACAAGGCAAGAATGCAATCAAAACTCGAAAACACTTTCCATCCTCGGATGGCTCAACATTATATCAAACAACTGCCAACCAGAGAGAACCATTCATGATCAAATCAAAATAGACATCAGAAAGAGATGGATCTGAAAAATATTGTGCAAATCCAAGTCAACCGTCACAACGCAAGCTCTTGAAAGAGAATGGCTGGAAGATCCAGGCAAACCTGAAGATCTATAAAAGCAGAGGCAAGAGTAAAGGGATGTACGTGGACCGAATTGATTGATTGATTGTATGTTTACGTCCCGTTTGAGAATTTTTCACTCATATAGAGATGTTACCATATACTGGTAAGGGGCTTCAAATTTAAACCTTTACTCGGCACTCAGGGCCATTAAGCAGTGAGGGTTCTTTATTGTGTCAACGCTTAAAGTGACACAGGGTCTCGGTTTTTAAGGTCTCATCCGAAGGACCCGCAACTTTCACTTCAAAGTGCCGAGCGCCTGGCAAAGGAACAGTTGCTACCTATTTTTTATCGACTTAGGTCAGTTGCGGCCGTGATTCGAACACAAAACCTTCCGATCACGGAGCTAAAGCTCTACTGTGGAACAAATTGAAGAAAACAGCCCACAGAGGAATCCGTTGGCGAGGTGTGGTTGCTGCCCTATGCCCTCCATGGAGTCAACAGTATTAATTAAAAACGGGTAATTCCATTAAAATTACCAAACAACATCCTTCATGAAACTCAAAATCAATAAAAGAATAACAGATCTGTTTTAGTCTACATGTGTATTTTTTAGATATACAAAAATGGAGTTGCATTTTTGAAAGATTGCTTTCAGAGACAGATATTCAGATCAGAGAGAAATTATCCTGAAAAGTAAATCTGCCTAGCAGTTAAAAAAGTTTGACGTTTATTTTCTGATATATATATATATTTTTTTTTGTAATATTGCTGTGCGACAATCTCATCTTCAGCATGTAGTTATCCCGACACTTTTCATCCTTTTTCATACGAGACTACTGTGATTTGAAATTCAAACATCAAAATCTTGTCATGGCAAGCAACCTTTTTACATAATAAAAACTGGATATTTAAATCATAATAGAGCAATATAATAACAAAGTCAGTTGGAACATTTTTCTTACATACATTATAACTTATCTTAAATACAATACTTTGAATTTGAAAGATGACACAATCAGTATATTTAAAAAAAAACAGCAATTATGTACCTGGAGCATTTCCTTGGTATTTTTTCAGACTTTCTCGAGGAGATCGACAGGTAACAGCAGGTAGAATGTCCAGGCTTCTATGTCTGCATTTCATATATCCTCTCTTTTAAAATATAAAAGAATTTATAATTTTTTTCATTATCAGTAATGTAACCTTCCTTCAAATTCATATGCACTAGATAAAATCCCGAGCAAGCGCGGGGAATTGAATTTCTACCACTACCGACAGAAAATATATTGTAGTTTCTACTGACTCCTACGGGATTACAGCAGGAAGAAATACTTTGTCCAAAATCCCGCACGAAGTAGATGTACGTCTCCACCACCACCCCCTCCCCTCTTTCGTAAAACTTGAAAAATAACAATTTCATTAATTGAAGTTTATTTTATTGTGAAACCTGTTATACATGTACTATGTTATGGATATTGTTCTTCAGATGCTCTTATTTCTTTTCCGTCAAGGATGAAAACAATGGATATGCACATTTTACTGATAAATTGATTTTTTTTTTTGGGGGGGGGTAGAAATTCACAGGTACTTGGATCTTGGTTTATGAATATGTATGTACCTCATTGATATGTAAAAATGTACTTCACTTTTTTTACATACATATATCAATAAGGATCATACTTATTTATAAACAAAGACCCAAGTACCTTTGTTCAAATTAGCATTTAACGCCCTATGAATAGGCCGAGTATTTGATACGAAAGACTGTATTCAGAAAAAAAAATTGAAATGTATTGATTAAAGCACAAAATTTTACAGCTTTGATTTGAATAATACCTTATTCATCAATTTTCTCTTTTCGTGTAAGAAAGTTTATTACTAAGTACAAATTGTACTTCGGGTTAGTTGCAACTATGCTCTCAGTGAGGAATTAATATATATAAATTTTACCGATAAAATTAGGAAAACCTACTACATATATGTAATAATCTTTCGATATATAAATATATTCACAACTTATAGTGTTATCAATGATTTACCATTATTTCAATGACCATTCACACAAAAGCTTTTTTTATGTTCATCGCCTCGGTGTTTTTTTAACATCGTGCTCGATGCTATATGATGTTCTAGAAGCTTCCGTCAATATTAAGATCGGTGAATGACGAAAATAACTTGCACATTTCCCTTTTTAATCGGTTATCGCACCTTATTTCTTTTATATCATTTAAATCAAGTTTTGATTGAATAATACAGTGATGAAGTTTTATGAAATAAATAAACGATTGCTTGTTGCCAATTTCATTAAAAATTGCCAGTAACTTAGATCCGCCAACCGGAAACGCCACCGTACTCACGTTTCTGCTATTTCATGGCTGTTTATAGAAAATGAAAGTAGACTTTTAATTTAATGCACGATACTTACTATGCGAGTGAAATCTTAATATAGTTTACGGACAACATCTTGTATCTAGTGTATTCTTAGAGGAGTTAGTAAGAACTCGGGCGCACCCAATTCGGAGTTTATTTTCAAAGTTTATTAATTTATAAGTATAGATGTACGTGCGAGGGTCATCCGAAAATTTCGCGGACACGTTGATTTACGGAAAAAATATTATGTACAAAGACGAATGACCTATTTCTGATTAAATTCTTATCTTTTGTTTATTAGTATATAAAAGAAATACGTCCATTTATTAATATTTTGAAAATATACAGTGATTTTTACTGTGCGGTCATAGGATTCATGGTCATAGGATTAACGTTCTTGACGTTAGGTGACGCGACAACCTGATTCCGAAAAACATTCCTAAAACATCTTTCATTTCTATAGACTTTTCATGTGTTTTTCCTTCTTAAAATAACTAAATCACGACATGTTACATTTTTCCCAAAATGGCTTTTGTGGCGTATTGAATATTAGTGAGATCTTAAAATTAATGTCTACGCAGTTAAGCGATTATGTATAGAAACAATGAAAAGTCAATAGAGGCAACGTCAGTGCAATTTTATGATCATCAATGTAAAATTCAAGATTTCAGCAAAGATTTTCATTTTATTGGTGTTGGAATCAACTTAATAAACTGTAGCCGAATTGTTCTTGTGACAATTTAAACTAGATGTACTGTGAGCACTGAGTTTACAAAATTATACCCCACCCCATTTTTGCTATGGAAAAGTACGTGCACAATGGCGCTATGTAAAAATGTTTTGTGAAAGTATCACAAAATTTTATCCGGTGGTATAGTAGGAGTTGCGGATAAAAAATGGGCATCTCTGATATTATAGAAAGAATGGAAGTTTCCATGTTTTGCTATGGGAAACCTGAAAATGTGTCAAATCAAAAAGGAATATAGGAGGTTCACAATTTCACTGTGTAATAGATATACTTTAAAAACATCATTAAATTTTATTCAGTGGTATAAGAGGAGTTGCAGATAACAGATGGGAATCACAATTTTATATATATATATATATATATATATATATATATATATATATATAAAGCATTGTCTTTATTTTGCTAAGAGAAACCCAAACTATGTATCCGATCAAAAAGTAAAAATGAAGGTTTATAAGGGACTATATCATAAAGTTTCCGTGAAAGTATTATTGGATTTAATAATATTTATAGCTAAATAATTTTTTTAAGTTTTTGAACTGTAAATTCATATGTCATTTAGGATATTATATCCCAAACTGGCTGTTATACATGTATAACGTTTTGGGCGATTATTGACGAGATTAAATTTTTATCAGCTGTTTATATGTTCTCGAACTAATATTTAGTTATATATTTATTTCTATCCATTTTTACTTAATAAAAAGGTTTAATTTGGATGTGCAATTACTATACACAATGATTTCTGTTTTGAAGTCAATACGATGATAAAGCCAGTCGAGGAGTACAGTTATCACGGAGCCAGAAAGGTGACTTGAATCTTGAGTTTTGAATGTGTCAAACATATTTGACTAAAAAAACAGCAATAAATGATTTTCATATCAATGATAATTTTATAATGATATAACTTGAAATGCAGACCATGTAATATGGCTTGATTCAGTTGTTACATTCATTTAAATTCTAGCCGAACTCACGGTAGTCAGAGAATCGGCATAAAAATAAACATAAACATTTGTATTAATTTGGAAATTCTTTTATCCATTTTTAGTTTGATGTAGAAATGTATATTTTTATTTTATATACAAAAAAATATGATACATCTTTTTGTTATTACTCTAAGAAGGAAAATTCACATACACTACCCTTTGTAGGTATAAAGGTTAGATAACTGGATATGAATTGACAATAAATGCGCGATGAGCACACTGACAAAACGATCTAAAGCAGGATTTTACTTTGTATGTTTGGTTTTTGTAGTCTCTCCTTTTTTTAGGGTTGTAGCATTTTGACATTATGTTTTCATTTTTAAAAAAAAGAAACCCATGCCTCACAACTCACTTGAGTAATTTTGGTCCTTCTGTTTTTATCATCAGATTATTTTCCCTATATACGAAGGTTGTCCATAAAATTCGTGGACAATGACGTTTTTGTCAGAATGAATGGTCCTAAATATACTTATTGTATATCAAAAGATTTGTTATGAAAATCCAAGTCAGATAACTTGGTTTTGATTGTTAGAGCTGAATAATTTTGTAAAATGTTATCGGGGTCTTAAAAGGTCGCAGGTAGAGCGCACGGTCTAGGATTAAAATGCCATAAACTTTGAAATACATGTAGTTTTTTGATTTAAAGTATTATTTTCTTTATAAAACAAATCAAAGCTTAATAAAAATTAAAAGTAACACAATAAAACGGCTATCATCATTTTCTGATATCTTGGGTATCGCTTACTAAACAAATAGTGAAAAAATTAAGAAAAAACTGCAAGGATAATTTTTCAAATTACAAATCTGACCAAAAAAGCGACGTCGACCATCCGAACGGAACAGCTTCCAGTCATAAATCATGTTTTAATATGGTCGACACGACGTCAGAAAAAATATTCATTCAAATTATTGGATTATATGAAGTTCATTGATTTGAAATTAGCATATACAATTTTTCAACGGTGTGCACAATTTTGGAGACACTGCAAGAAGTGGTAAACTACTGTTATTTGGTAAAAATAGAATTTCTCTATTCATGACGTTGTTATCAATCTAGCGCAACGTCGGGCTGGCCTGCGCAACCTGTTTTTACGATGTGTTTATATTGATGACACTCGTAAGTTTTCGTGTATGGATTGATTTGAGTTTTAAAATTATATCAATCATGTTCTATGTATAAATTACATTGTACACATTTGGCAGTGTGGCATAAAAAATAAAATGTAGCCTGTGTTGATCAACATGTAATAAAAATTCAAAATTCATATTTTTGGCGTTATCATGAAATTAGCTTTACGTCAGACTGGGCCGTGCAGCTTGTATATACAAAGTATTTACACCTTTAACGTTCGTAAAATAATGTGCATTGTATTTATTTTTATATTTTTATTAAATTATGGTCTCTGTTAAAATATAATTGTGCACGTTTGACAATGCGGTCATTATAAAAAAAATTATAGCATTTGTCCACGACAACCCTCGTACTCTAATGAACAAGAGGCCCATGGGTCACATAGCTCACCTGAGCACAATGGCTAGGAAAAAGCACAAATCAATTCAGTATTGAAAAGTTTACATTGGGGGGGGGGGGGCTTGAATTTTTAACTACCTGAAGATGCTTCCCTATCAATATAACAAATGGCTTTGCTGTTCTTGAGTAGAAGATTTTTAAAGATTTTTTCCTATATTTATATTCCTTTGTAAAAATTTGATACCCCATTGTGGCCCCTCTCTACCCCCAGGGGTAATCATTTGAACAAACTTTAATCTACTCTACCCGAGGATGCTTCCATATCAATATGACTAAACATGGCTTTGCTGTTCTTGAGAGAAAGATTTTTTCCTTCATATTCCTATGTAAAACTTTGATCCCCCATTATGACCCCACCCTATCCCGGGGGTCATGATTTGAATCTACAATACTTGGGGATGCTTCCATATCAATATGACTAATTGTGGCTTTGTTGTTATTGAGAAGAAGATTTTAAAGGTTTTTTGTATATATTCTTATGTAAAACTTTGACCCCTGGGTTCATGATTTGAACAAACTTGAATCTACAATACCTGAGAATGCTTCCATATCAATATGACTAAACATGGCTTTGTTGTTCTTGAGAAGAAGATTTTTCAAGTTTTTTTCCTATATTTCTATGTAAAACTTTGATCTCCCCTTGTGGCCCCACCCTACCCCCAGGGGACATGATTTGAACAAACTTGAATCTACAATACCTGAGAATGCTTCCATATCAATATGACTAAGCATGGCTTTGCTGTTCTTGAGAAGAAATTTCTAAAGTTTTTTTCCTATATATTCCTATGTAAAAATTTGAACCCCAATTGTGGCCCCACCCTACCCCCAGGGGTCATGATTTGAACAAACTTGAATCTATACTATATAACAAAGGTTTTCTATAAGTTTCAACTTTTTTGGGCCATTGGTTCTGAAGAAGAAGATTTTTAAAATATCCCACCAAATTTTCACTATTTCTGAATTATCTCCCCTTGAATGAGGGTGTGGCCCTTCATTTGAACAAACTTGAATCCCTTCACCCAAGAATGGTTTGTGGCAAGTTTGGTTGAAATTGGCTCTGTGGTTCTGGAGAAGAAGTTGAAAATGTGAAAAGTTTACAGACGGACAGACAGACAGACGGACTACAGACAAAAAGTGATCAAAAAAGCTCACTTGAGCTTTCAGCTCAGGTGAGCTAAAAACTTAGATCACATAATGTGGCCAACCTTACCATAGGTGTCATGATCTGCACAAAGTTGAATCTGCAATGCCCGAAGATGCTTCCACATTAATACGACTGAACAAAGCATTGCTATTCTTCGGGAGAATATTTTGAATAATTTTTTCCAATATATTTACCTGTAAAACGTTTACCCCCCGATGTGACCCCAGTCACCCCCATTTGTCATTATTTGAACAAACTTGAATCTTCACTAACTGAAAGTGCGTCCATATCAATATGACAAATTATGTTATTTTTATATTATATTTCCTATATATCCCTATGTAACACTTTGATCGCCCGGTATTGGTCTCACTCTTCTCCAACAGGTCCTGATTTGAGATAAATGTAAATCTTTACTACCTGAGGATACTTCTATTCATATCAGTAATCATGGGTTTGCTCTTTTAGAGAAAAAGATTTTTAAAGATTTTTTTCCTATACATATTCAGCACGTAAAACTATGATTGCCCATTTTGGCCCCACCCCAACCCGCGGGGGTTATGATTTGAAGAGATTTGAATCTACACGGTCTGAGAAAGTTTAAATAGATTTATGACTTGTCATGGGTTTGCCCTTCTTGAGACGGAAATTTTTATAAAGATTTTTCCTATGTATTCCCAAAACTATCCCAAGAGTTACGATTTGAACAAATTTGAATTTGCTTTATCTGAGGATACTTCCATATAAATATGAATAATCATGGGTTGCTAATTCTTGAGAAGAAAATATTTAAAGATTTTTCCTTTATATTCCAAATGAATATAAAATTTAGATCGCCCTTTGTCGCCCAACCCTACCTTAAGTGATCAAACTTGTATAAACTTTATTCTAGGAAGCTTTCGTATAAGTTTCATCTTTTCTAGACTAGTGGTTCATGAAAAGATTTTTAAATGACCTTACCCGATTTTCACTATTTCTTTATTATCTTCCCTTGGATGAGGGCATGGGCCTTCCTTTGAACAAATTTGAATTACCTTAATTTAAGGATACTCTGTGCCAAGTTTGTTTGAAATTGGCACAGTGTTTCTTGAAAAGAAGATAAAAATTGAAAAGTCTACGATGACAACGACAATAGACAAATTTTGATCAGAAGAGATCACTTGAGCCTTCGGCTTATGAGCTAAAATGTTTAAATTTGAATTTAATGTGTGTATGGTTGTTTTAAATTCTTATCTGTCATACACTAGTACATGATTGTTTCATTTGATAACAATCATTTGTTTATACCTTATTATGATTAGGGGTTAAAATCTTATGAATTTTAATTTCTTTAAACTAAACTGAAGATTATTCATTAAATAGATTGACTGATTCTGAAAGATTAATTAATTTATAGTGACTTTGATTTGTCATGTATAATTATCAAATATGAATTTGTCTGATTATAACTAATAAGATTGATTGCCCTCTTCTTTCATTTTTATTAATTAATTAATTAATTTATTTATTTATTTATTTATTTATTTTTGGTCAATTTATAAATGTCAACTTTTAACTCAATTGTTATCAATTCAGTTTCTATTATATCTTCAATTAATCATCAAACAGAGAACAAGATACAGAAAATATGCCATAAAGTTAAATATTATGCTTACCTGGAAGTTGGGTGAAGGTGAAAAAACTGTTTTTATTATACCTCATTATAATTATTCTACACAACGCGTTATCTGATGGGTTCTTGAAGGTCACGAGACAGGACCATAAAACTTTATATTTACATTTGCTGTGTTTTTCTACTAAGCCAACTGTGAAATTGATTTGAAAGTCATTTTTGTGTATACTCACGCGTAGAAATATACATGGTGAAACACGCGCTAAAGTGACGTCACAATAAGGCAAAAAAGACGTTAATAAAAATGTAACTATATAGGGCAGCAAGGAATTTGAATATTGAGTATATCATTGGTTCTTTTAAACTTGTAAAATGTAAATATAAGGAATGTTTATAAGTTTAGTGTGAATTATTGGTGTGTAAATCACACAGACTTGCACGTAGGCATATTTTTCATGAAATATGCCTACGTGACAAGTCTGTGTGATTTACACACCAATAACTCACACAAAACTTAAAAACATTCCTTAAATATTTCCTGTCGTTGTCATGCTTTTCATCATATTCAACCTATTCGGAGATCTCGAGCATATTCCCGCAATACTTATCGTTTGTTGAACGAAAGCGTCCGAGAGCAGCAGACGTCACAAATTCGGTGACTTTTAAAAAATGAATGTGAACGTGAGAGCGGTGCGGAATGTGACAGTTTCTGTTTATTTTTAAAAGCTTGGCTTGTTTTGGTATAATGAACAGTTTATTGCATGATCGTGAGGGAAGTATGAAAATTTAAAAAGAGCCCTTGGGGAGTTTGATTTTTCTTGGCTGAATAAATCTTCATACTTCCCTCACAATCATGCAATAAATGCATAAATAAGTAAATTAATACTTTTCAATCTTTGTTTAGCTTAAGGTAGAAAAAAATGTTATGGTCACCTGGAAGGTAGGTGCAGCTGAACATAATTTTCATAACTAATTGTATCAATTTGAAAGTTCTCGATCTATGAATGTACAAAAAAATATTGTTATGATCAGCTGGAAGGTCTCATGCAGGGGAAATACTGTAGTATGAAATCTACAATGTTGGATCTCAGCCAGTCAGAGTAGTAACTTCGCGGCTAGGAGAAGGCTGTCAGAAGAATGTAACAGTGTACCAGTCAAATTAACTTCTTTGAACTACCTAGATATGACGTCATAATGGCATATGACGTCAAGTCACTGCAATTTGAGCAGACATGACGGGGAAAGTGTCACAACTTTCACATTCCTGTCACATTACATGTTGAATTTTTTTACGTTGATGTTTAATTCATGTGTCTGGATTGTTGTTTTAAGGCTGTTATGATGGTGAACATTTGCAGTATAATATCGGTATTCCTTTTTCTTGTCTAACGTGTATTCAAACAATAACAAAAAAGAATGTGAAATGCTCCCCCTTACACGTAAGTAGACAGAGGTAGAATTTATAAATCTTATTTACATAAAACTGGCACAAGTGAATAATAAGGATTAATTGAAGATATTCTGTGTGAATCTACTACAGAAATATGTCCTCTAACTGAACTGGGGTATTGTATGTAATTTATCCCATTTTGTATAAATTGCGATGAAGAGTGGAAAATCACCCCTTGTATGTGGGAAAGTTGAATTTCTCGTGAAATATTTTCTTAAGAAATAAAATTCAGACTTGCCCACAGCACTTTATATATACCCAAGAATACGTTTAATTGTTTTATTTAACAAGCCGTTCACAATAATTTTGTTTTTCACTTGTGCCGATGCGATTTTTGTGCAACATTTAAGAAAATTTAAAAGTGTCCATCATGTGATCAACACAGTCATGTGACATCACAAAATGCTTTTTTATAATACCTTATTCAACTCTCCTTACAACTTAACTGTGTATGTACACATAGATTACAAATTGAAATCAAAACATAGCTCAAAATAAAATAGTATATATCTAATCACATTAAGCCTTCGGACAGCCTTTACATAGCTGCGTTAGGAAATAGTCAACCATATATTAAAAACGGTTTTTATATATTTATATTATTTTAACATAAAGATAATTAACGATAATAAGTTTTATATTCCTGATTTGAAAGTGTAATTCTAGTCTTATATAACTGAACACATTAAATTCAACAAAAAACTTTCTTATGCCTCTTTTTTCAAAAGTTTTTTTTTAATCAATAAAAGTAAAATTTAGAATCCATAGCATCCAATTACACGCAGAGTTAATAGAAGATAACATCGGTGGTCAAACAGCAGTTATGTTTATTTCTTTTTAGTTCCAAGTTGAATTTGATTAAAATAATGTTTAGAAATCCAGATATTCTGTGATATTCTGATTTCGGATATTTTCCAGTGTGTCATAAAAATTAAAGAAATTGTTTTTTTCAACAATTTTTCTTTTGAATTATCTTTCTCAAGAGTGAAGAGTAAGTGAACAGCATATATAGTTGTAAGCGGACCCCGAACTCAAATTGACCTAAGCGTAATGATTACAACTTGCAGGGTGGACTCTGGTCAAAGACGGAGAGACAGACAGATAAAATAAATACAATGATTAGTGATGGGGATCTGCATTTAATCAGGGTCCTTACTAAATTTAAATTTTAAATGTTTGTAGATCAGACCTGCTTCTTGTAGTCCCTGCCCGGTAGAGGCATGGTCTCTACAATGTAGAGATCATAGGGTAGTTTCCTCCACACATGCCCAGTACTGTTGGTCAGACAGCCCAGGATCAGTAACTGGAACAACAGATAGTCCACTCCCTCCTGGACCTATGAAAGTTTAACGTATACAGATACAAGACAATATATAGTATTTGTGTGCAAATGCGAAAATTATAAATATTTTAAAATATTCCATTTTTTGAAGGATTCTGTAGTCCTTTTTTTAATGTGTATTTCAGTTCCAATTAGAATATAAAAGATATCTAACAAGCTTTTCAGTGGGGGGACTAGAATTTCTTACATGTAATAATACAAGTAACAATAATGATTTTCACCTCATGAGAGAGATCAATGTGGAACAATCTTGGTTCTATTTTCCCAGGATGCAACGTGTTCTCCAGGAGTACATCCATGATGTCGTCAATGTTAATTTCCCTCTCGTGTAACGGGATAGACACCACTGCCTTCTTGCTTCTGATTACACCACTGTGTAAACTTTCGAGTTTTTCAGCCAATCTTTTCTTGTGTAAACTCTTCCCAACTCCGGCTCTCCAAGATTTCACCACTCTCACTGTGCAACTAAAAATCAGATAGCAGTGGTTTTCAATTATATACATGTATAAATATTTGGGAAAAAAACGTATTAGTTGATATACTATATAATGAATATTTTTTCTTCACAGGATTAATTCAGGAAATTATTACAAAACAATTTGTCTAAATGAAATCTGTAAGACCTAGGCATACGTGAAGTTTAAAGTTGATATTTTCTGAGTTTGAAAACTAACAATATTGATAAAAATGACAGGGAAATTCAAAATATCCGTTTTAAATCGGAGTATCTGTGCTTAATTCATTGAATTTTACACACAGATCAAAGTCAGCTTCAGCTGCAGGGGAAGCACTTGGTCTCCTGATGTCAAAGGTCAGCTTATCCTTGATATATTTTGTCATGTTGTCATGTGTCATCAGAGGAAGAGGGGGGCGTCTATATTTGTCCAAGGCCGCCACAATTCTGGAGTGATACTCCCCCTCTGTGCTACAGACCACCACTAGTTTGTAGGGAATCTCTGCAGAAATATTGAAATACAGGATGTTGATAATAAATATTCAAAGCATGATAAACCTGAGGAATTTTTTTTAAATAAGGCTTCAGTTGGTTTTTTGAAAAACTACCGAGTTCTACAGCTTTCTGCATGTGATGTTCCAGCCTTCTCTTCCCTTTATCACTGACTTCATAATCCAGGAGGTCACCATTGACCAAACAATGGATTTTGTCTGTTGTGTCAAGTACAGCTCTTCTCCAAAATATCTCCACCTAATAAGAAGCATCAAATACTAAATTTAGTAAAATTTATTGACCAAACAATTGATTCTGTCGTAACAAAGACAGCTCTCCTCCAAAATGTCTCCAACTTACAGAAAATGACATTGTTTTTAAGCACAAATATTTATAGATTTTTTTTGTTTGAAACTTATAAACAATATACTGTTGCTTTCTAAAAACATCATTGTACTTTTACTTTCTGAAGAAAAAAATCCAGAAAAAACTACAAAGCAAATGATTCATGATGGCCCGCATTTCGGCAGATGATTGCTGTAAAACTACATTGTGTGGAAAAAGTTTCATTTCCCATCTTTCCTGAGGGTCATGCATGACTCATTTGAACTTGAATCCACACTACATGGGTATTCTGGATATTAAAGTCATAAATGTGTCCATGCTGTTCTGAAGAAGATTTTAAAAATTTTTTTTTTATGATAACATGTATAATATAAGCTTTAACCGCCGATTTCAACCCTATCGTAGTTTCAATGTCAATTATTTGAAAAGAATGAAAAAATAAATGTCACGGGACGTGGCAATGTTTGCATTTCCAAAAGATTGATGCATGCCAGTCTTGAACTTTTTTCATCCAATTTCCAATGTATTCTCATATTAATTAAAAACTTGTTATAGCTCTACTCGAAACATAGGAACTATGGTTTGAACAACGCGGCTAGGATAAGGCTGTCCGAAGAATGTCACAGTGTACCAGCCGCACTAACTTCTCTGAACTACCTAGATATGACGTCATAATGGCATATGACGTCAAGTCACTGCAAATTCGAGCAGACATGACGGGGAACGTGTCATAACTTTTACATTCCTTTCACATCACATGTAGAATTTTTTTACGTTGATGTTTAATTCATGTGTCTGGATTGTTGTTTTAAGGCTGTTTTGATGGTGAATATTTGCAGTATAATATCGTTATTCCTTTTTCTTGTCTAACATGTAGGTATTCAAAAAATTACAAAAAAAAAAATTGTGAAACGCTCCCCCTTACTCGTCTGTAGACAGAGTGAGAATTTATAAATCGTGTATATATTAGACTGGCACAAGTGAATAATAAGGATTAATTGAAGATATTCTGTGTAAATTTACTAGAGAAATATGTCCTCTAACTGAATTTTGCTGGGGGATTGTAGGTAATTTATCCCATTTTGTATAAATTGCGATGAAGAGAGGAAAATGACCCCTTTTATGCGGGTAAGTTGAATTTCTCGTGAAATATTTTCTTAAGATATAAAATTCAGACTTGCCCCCAGCACTTTATATATACCCAAGAGTACGTTTAATTGATTTATGTAACAAGCCGTTCACAATAACTTTGTCTTTCACTTGTGCCGATGCGATTTTTGTGCAACACTTAATAAAATTTATAAGTGTCCGTCACGTGATCAACACTGTCATGTGACATCACGGAAATGCTTTTTTATAATACCTTATTCAACTCTCTTTACAACTTAAGTGTGTATGTATTCATAGATTACAAATTGAAATCAAAACATAGCTCAAAATAAAATAGTATATATCTAATGCATGTTAAGCCTTCGAACAGCCTTAACATAGCTGCGAAATATAAATTAACCCTTCACTCTATTTGGATGCTTGCAAATTTGTATGAGTAGATATTGCACTGCCGCTTTTTAGAAGTAGTTTCTATTTAATTTCTTTATATTCCAATAGCAACTATTTTAATAAATCTTAATATGAACTACCTGAGGTTTCCTGAAAATCAAACGCCTAATGTAACTTGGTGTTCTTGTAAAGCAAATTTCAAAACTTTCCCTATATATTCCCTAAATATTCAAATGCAAAATTGCCAACGCCAATAGTAGCACCTTAGGACCCCCGGGGGCAATGAATTGAACTATCTTTATCTACATTGCCTAAAAAACTTGCATAATAAATACTAATAATGATATCAAAAGTCCTGGTTGTGCTGTTCCAGAGAAGAAGTCATATTTTAGTATGTGTAACATTTGTGACCCTCTATTGTGACCGCTACCTTCACTGAGGTCCATGATTTGAACAACCTTGAATCTGCAATTGAGAATGTTGCATATTAATACAAATAATGAAGGTTCTGTTGACCATTAGAAGAATTTCAGCTGTTTGTTTGTTTTTGTTTTTTTGATTTCCCTGTCTATCTCTATGTATAACATTTAACCCTTTGTGGCCCAATTCCCCCCCCCCCACCCCCCTGCTCAAAAGTCATATTTTAAACGAATCTGAGCATTATTCCCTTAATCCAAGGTTTGAAGGATACTTTGTTACAGAGTTCTGGTTAAAAATACTTAAATATTTAAAAAAAAAAAAAAAAAAAAAAAAAAAAAAAAAAAAAAAAAAAAAACTAAGGAACATAAAAACAGATGAAAAAAATCTAAATAATAAACTGACCTCATCCAGAGTAGTGTGTGGAGTACACATCAGGATCTCATCCGACTGAGGAAGAGGCTGATCCGGATCATGGCTGTATATTGTCAGCACCGTATTCAAAATCTCATCTGAAAATTGGAAGAAATTATTCCCATTTTATATCCTAACCATGAAACCATGAACACATTTCTACAGAAAATGGATGAAAATATTTTATTGAAATCTTTACGGATGAAAAACATTTTGAAAGAAATTTTAAGCCATTTTTATTCAAAGTTTCTAATATATCATACTGTGAAATCACTAATTTTCGTGTGGGGATTAATTTACGCTGTTTACAAGGTATGAAGAGACCCACGAATTCAATTTAAGTCCTCTGCGAAATGTAAAATATATACATAAACACTCAACAATTCTTCAACTACGAAATCAAATCCCCACGAACCCATAGTTTTTTCACAAACCACAAAAATTTGACACCATGAAAATATGTGGTTTTACAGTAGGTAGTCTGATCATTACAATCAAATAAATATGTATCGTTGTTTAGTCTACCTTTTTACAATGTACGAAGTTTTATTGAAATCAAATTAAACTAGAACTGTCAAAAATGGACAAATGCCCCCACTGGGTTTTCCAGAAAAGGTACCAAATCACTAAAAGTATTTTATGGATCTAAAGGTGTTAAAATTTGTTAACTGGCAGTCAAGTCGCCCGCGTGGCGCAGTGGTTAGAGCACCTGCTCTAGAGTTGATCCTTACGTCGCGAGTTCCAATCCACTGCGGGACGTGGAGACCGGTCCTTCGGATGAGACCGTATAAACCGAGGTCCCGTGTCGTAGTGTTGGCACGAAAAAGATCCCTCACTGCTCAATGGCCCTCAGTGCCGAGTAAAGGTATAAATTTGCAGCTTTCCACCGGCAAGTGGTGGCGTCTCCATATGAGAGAAAAAATCTCGAGAGGGACGCTAAATAACAAAATTTATTTATTTTAAATCAATCCAATACTTTACCACCTGAGGAGTACAATATTTACCGAGCCCAAAGGGCTAAACTTTATAGAATTGTCATTAAATTACATTCATTTTTTTGTTCGTTAAACAACAAACAAACAAACAAACAAGAGGCCCATGGGCCACATCGCTCACCTGAGTAACTTTGGCCATGCTGTTCATTACAGACTTCCCCCTTGTAATACCTATTGTGGCCCCTGCCCTACCCCCGGGGGCCATGATTTGAACAATTTAGAATCTACACTCCCCCAGGATGCTTCCACATAAGTTTCAGTTTTTCTGGTCCAGTGGTTCTTGAGAAGATTTTTAAAGATTTTTCCTATATATTTCAAAGTTTCCCTATTGTGACCCGCCCTACCCCCGGGGTCATGATTTGAACAATTTAGAATCTACACTACCCCAGGATGCTTCCACATAAGTTTCAACTTTTCTGGCTCAGTGGTTCTTGAGAAGATTTTTAAAGATTTTTCCTATATATTTCAATGTAAAACTTGGATTCCCTATTGTGGCCCTGCCCTACCCCCGGGGGTCATGATTTGAACAATTTAAAATCTACACTACCCCAGGATGCTTCCACATAAGTTTCAACTTTTCTGGCTCGGTGGTTCTTGAGAAGAAGATTTTTAAAGATTTTTCCTATATATTTCAATGTAAAACTTGGATTCCCTATTGTGGCCCCGCCCTACCCCCGGGGGTCATGATTTTAACAATTTAGAATCTACACTATCCCAGGATGCTTCCACATAAGTTTCAGCTTTTCTGGCTCAATGGTTCTTGAGAAAAAGATTTTTAAAGATTTTTCCTATATATTTCAATGTAAAACTTGGATTCCCTATTGTGGCCCCGCCCTACCCCCGGGGGTCATGATTTTAACAATTTAGAATCTACACTACCCTAAGATGCTTCCACATAAGTTTCAGCTTTTCTGGCTCAGTGGTTCTTGAGAAGAAGATTTTTAAAGATTTTTCCTATATATTTCAATGTAAAACTTGGATTCCCTATTGTGACCCCGCCCTACCCCCGGGGGTCGTGATTTTAACAATTTAGAATCTACACTATCCCAGAATGCTTCCACATAAGTTTCAGCTTTTCTGGCTCAGTGGTTCTTGAGAAGAAGATTTTTAAAGATTTTTCCTATATATTTCAATGTAAAACTTGGATTCCCTATTGTGGCCCCGCCCTACCCCCGGGGGTCATGATTTTAACAATTTAGAATCTACACTACCCCAGGATGCTTCCACATAAGTTTCAACTTTTCTGGCTCAGTGGTTCTTGAGAAGATTTTTAAAGATTTTTCCTATATATTTCAATGTAAAACTTGGATTCCCTATTGTGGCCCTGCCCTACCCCCGGGGGTCATGATTTTAACAATTTAGAATCTACACTACCCTAGGATGCTTCCACATAAGTTTCAGCTTTTCTGGCTCAGTGGTTCTTGAGAAGAAGATTTTTAAAGATTTTTCCTATATATTTCAATGTAAAACTTGGATTCCCTATTGTGACCCCGCCTTACCCCCGGGGGTCGTGATTTTAACAATTTAGAATCTACACTATCCCAGAATGCTTCCACATAAGTTTCAGCTTTTCTGGCTCAGTGGTTCTTGAGAAGAAGATTTTTAAAGATTTTTCCTATATATTTCAATGTAAAACTTGGATTCCCTATTGTGGCCCCGCCCTACCCCCGGGGGTCATGATTTTAACAATTTAAAATCTACACTATCCCAGGATGCTTCCACATAAGTTTCAGCTTTTCTGGCTCAGTGGTTCTTGAGAAGAAGATTTTTAAAGATTTTTCCTATATATTTCAATGTAAAACTTGGATTCCCTATTGTGGCCCCGCCCTACCCCCGGGGGTCATGATTTGAACAATTTATAATCTACACTACCCCAGGATGCTTCCACATAAGTTTCAACTTTTCTGGCTCAGTGGTTCTTGAGAAGATTTTTAAAGATTTTTCCTATATATTTCAATGTAAAACTTGGATTCCCTATTGTGGCCCCGCCCTACCCCCGGGGGTCATGATTTTCACAATTTAAAATCTACACTATCCCAGGATGTTTCCACATAAGTTTCAGCTTTTCTGGCCCAGTGGTTCTTGAGAAGAAGATTTTTTAATGACCCCACCCTATTTTTGTCTTTTCTCGATTATCTCCCCTTGTAAGGGGCCCTTTATTTTAACAATTTAAACTCCCCTTTACCCAAGGATACTTTGTACCAAGTTTGGTTAAAATTGGCCCAGTGGTTCTTGAGAAGAAGTTGAAAATGTGAAAAGTTTACAGACGGACGGACGGACAGACGGACAGACGGACGGACGGACGACGGACAATGGGTGATCAGAAAAGCTCACTTGAGCTTTCAGCTCAGGTGAGCTAAAAACCGACAGTCAAAATTTAATTGAAATTTAATTAAAATTTATGAATGATGAACTAAGCCAGTTCAGCCTAATAATACATTATAATACTAATCATTGTAAAATCTTTGGCTTGGCAAAATATTTAAGTACATGTAGTATGTAAAATCATTTTGTTTACGAATAAAATTATTGATAAGAAATTATGCTCAGGTTATAATATTTTTTTCAATTCAATTAATTGATTCTTATCGAGTGTGTACACCAAATTTACACGTACAATGTACATCAATTTTAAGCGAAACTGAAAGGGCTTATCCTCATTTAAATTGCCATTATATGTCTTTTTTTTATTAAGTACACATGTACTTGTAATTTAGATGTTATTCAATTGAAATTTGTAAGCGTCACTTTTCGAGACATGGTGACAAAATTACAATTAACCTATCAGCGGCCATAACGACTGTAATATGGTTTTGAGATAGAATGTCAGATCCAGTACACCGGAACAAGAGTACGTCAAGGAATAGCAAAATAGACAACTTTGTTGGTCGGAGAATCCTTACAGGTATCACACCGGTAATTGACCAATCAAAATGAACTTAGTAGTTAGTATTCAATTGTAGTTCCATACATAATAGCATCTATTTGTGTATACAAAATAGATGCCTTTATTTTACGAGAAAAGTATATTTGCAGGGACCTATATACTAGTATATAGGTCCCTTGTACGTTGGTTTTTAAGAGTCGGGCTTGGATGACACAGCAAGTGTTGTCTATATAAAGGGTCGGGTTTGTTCTTCACATTCCTTTCTGCTGAACCTTTCAAAGGTAAAGACGCATATCAAATGCTTGCAAAGAATACATCTAATTATTGCTTTGTAATTTTAAAAAATCGTATAATTTTCCATTTATGAATTGTTTTTCAACCATTTTAAATCTTTTATTACTGTTGACGTTTATTAAATAAGGCGGATGATGTTGGATTCAAATTTTTACGAAGCAGACGACGCACACGCGGTTATGCCAAAAAATAATTAATTTACCTTTGTTTTGTTATTAAATGATCAAATATTGGTTATCAACATTAATTATTGTCTTTTTGTTTCATATTGCGTCGAAATCGGAAAATGCAAACCCAGAATAGGGGAACAACAATATGGAAACTCGGTCGGACCTTTCTGTGGACACAGTGAGGATGGGCCCCAATACAAGTCAAAGAAAAGAATCGCAAATAGTCTGTGAACCAGTTGGAAAACCAGACATTGAATATATGTATCATCACAATCCAATACATCAGGTACATCCACCACCTTTGAAATACATAAATCAGTTGAATGTGTACATGTATCATGATTAATCTTTGCCATTGTAGAATGAGACCAAAATATAAGCAATAGACTGCTTATACAGTGTATAAATATTGCTTTTAAAAAAATCATTGCTTAAAGTGTTACCTTTCAAGCTTATGGTGAAGAATTTTATTTCTGTTTTTTTCTAAAGAAAGGGGGGGGGGGCTTACAAAAAAAAAAAAAAAAAACCTATTAAGTTAAGTTTCAACTAAAAGTACCAGAAAGTCAAGTTGAAAACAAAATAGATATAACTAACCAGTTAATCCTACAAAATTATGTCACAATAAAATAATCTTTCAAAAATACATTCAAATCATATTATAATTTTACCATAGAATTCTCTCAAAATAAGGACAAAAGACTTGCAGTTGCCTGGAATTGTTCAAAACTAAGGTCAAAATAATTCAATAGATT